TTGCCGATGCTTGCGCTGATCTTGTTCGGATAAACGATAGATGGATTTCTTAATTAATAAACACGCGATTAAAGCAGTTGCGAACTTTTATATCATACTAATGATATAAAATGATGTTTATATATAATCCAATTTCCAGGAAATCAAAAAAAAATTATTTGCAATTCAAGCAGTAATTACGCTTCATTTAAATAATTTCCATGTTCAAACAAGTTTACAACACTGTTTATTCCAGTGGTTTGTTGAAAATAAACCAGTTTGATTATAAATGAAATCTTCAATGCAAATAACTGCTGATCTCAATAGTAACAATCTAATTAGTGTGTACATATTTATGATGTCTTATAATGATGTAATTAAATCAGAAAACATGGTTTCCAATTTTATATTACTTTTTATAGAAGGAGAAAAAGAAGGAAAATTTCTATAAATTCAAAGATACGAATTTTCTTTATTTTCTATCGTAGCCTTTTCTAATTTATTCAAAACTCGACGATTCAATATAGCTTTGACTTTATGTTAAGTTAGTTTTACTTCGCGAGACATATGCTCCATATAAGTTGGACAGCAACGACTTAAATGATCGTCAAAGTTACGTAAAGACGCGTTTTACTGGCGCCTCTCATTCACTCTCTCTTTTTGCCGCCGTTCACGCGTCTTTCCGTCAATAGGACGAGACAGTTTTTGCGGATGAATTTGTGTCGCCGGCAGACAGACACACGGTGACATTTGATACGCGATGAAATTGATAAATTTTATAGCTATTTGGAACGCTGGCTAACAAATGATTTTATAGCTCTTATCGTGCAATTCATTTCTTAAACCAAATCTGATGAAAACGACACCGCAGATGTTTGAATGTGATCAGATATCTTTATCTATAACAATTTTATTGATTACTGAATAAATTTTAGATATAACTGGAATTTAAATATAAATATTCTTCACTTCCTATGTGTTGCAGATTTATTTATATCTAAAATAAGTAACTGTATTCATTTTTTAATATTGAATTTATTTTAAATATAATTTTCTAAAATGAAAACAGCAATAAGTGCAAAAGAAAAAGGTCAGATATTTTATCAGTGCTTTGTTTTTCATTTTATATCTATCATTATCTAATATAATAAATTGCAAACAAAAATGAACAGATCCTGAATGAGTTTTCAAAAGGAAGTGTCATATTAAAAGATTTTTTTTATTTTTTTATTTGTATTTAGAATCATCACTTTTTCCTTGTATCACCAGTTACACGATAAGCAGTCCGAAATAAACTTATATTTTTATAAACTTGTCTTTAATGGTATTTCGATATTTATAAAATACTTTCTCGTACAAAACGAAAGTAATATCTTATTTAAAACAGTATGGATATTCAGAACATTTTACTCCATTTCCTGATACGTAACACATGTTCTGCATATTTTTTGCATATTTTAAAACGTCATAACTGTACACATAACAGCAGACCAGTAATAAAAACTTCAATAAAATTACTATTTATTTACACGTTGCTGATCTACTTTTTAAAATTCTATCAGAAATTTCCAAATTTGTTAATCAGGTCTATGTATTAAGAAACAGAAACAAAAAGAGCAAACTTTTATGGTCTTAATAGTTATCCTAATTGACGATGAATAAACATTTGATTAAACGGTGTCGTAAAGTTTGAAAAGAACCTGGTTGAAATAGAATTGATGGATTTGGATAACCTTCGATTTAGAAGATAATTGTACCTGCTATGGGTGATATGGAACACCATTCAAAGCTGTGAAAGGTGTCATTAATGCTATGAGACTACCTGTTACAATCCTATGACATTTTAAAAGGTAAAATCCTGCTATATAATCGTAATATGACAACTCACTCATTTCAATTATAAGGGAAATTCATCTCCCACTATTAATTCTCGGATTATTCATGGCGGACCACGAAGAGAGCCCCGATTTTAATTTAATTTCGTATTTTATATTATTTTCATTTTCTAAATCTAACAAATTATTTTTGCTATCATTCAGCATTAAAATAAATTAAATTATACCACTATCGAATGATATGTTTATTTAAAAAAAAAAAAAAAAAAAAAAAAAAAAAAAAAAAAAAAAAAAAAAAAAAATACTCCATCTAATCTGTCCTACCAGAAGCGTACAGCCATACTTCATTGTTAATTCCCCTGGCAATGTAAAACGTCCTGTTTCATCAAAATTTATTACTTTAACGCTGTTAGCCGGACACCCACCGAAAGTAATCAGAAACGTTGCCACGTATCGATACTGTTCTATATTCCGTTCCTGTTCCTTTTTCTTGCGCTGGTTGAGTTCGTTTAGAAAGAATGCTCCCGATCGAAAACGCAATTCCACCGATTTTATTCAGTTCACGGACGCGTGCACCGGCCATTTACCTAGGGAAAGCAATCTGGTGGACATCGCTAAGGCTAATCCTCGGCAATAAATTATGGTTTTACATTGACCCGAGCCTTTAGGCTCGTTAGCGGGTTGCGTCCAAGTGACGATTAGCATTTTGCCTTACGGCTCGTTGCCGTTACAATACCGGCCTTTCACGTCGCTAAATTATTCTCTCGTCTCCGAGACAACGTTCGACACGTCGAAAAGTAAACGACCGGTGATTTAACCGAATACCTGGAACAAGGTACAGGTGTTCGAATGTATAATTTCGCGCGAACTTTGACACCCGAACAACCGTAAAAGATCCTCTATTACACTTTTATTACACCGGCTAGACGATAATATACCATTGTCGTTGGCTACTTTATTGAATCTCTACGCAATTTATTTTTTAAATAGATCAATTCTTCTGAAGATTCTGCTTACGAAATATTTAAAGAATCAGCAATTCCTAAGATACTTGAAATTTTTGCAAGAAATATTTCACGAACTGTCGACTTTTTCAACATTGTTCTCTAATATTATTTCACGTAGTATATTCCGAAGAATAGATCTACGTAACGGAAAAAATATGCAGTTCCATTGAGAAAGAAACAAAGGAGTAAAACAATAAGTTCTGTTTGAAATATTTTTTGAAAAGCGAATAGTTCAGAAGATAACGTCACGAATAAATTAAAATCGAACACCCTGTATTTACGGTATCTCCGCTGGACGACACTATACGGATGACTCTATAAATCGATTATCCATGGAATTTACGATCTCGACACCTGATGACTTCTTCAGTCATCTGAACAGATTACCTAACGTTTGCGGATGAAGAGAAAATCCACTATCATTCTATAATTTATGAGTGTTAGAAACTGGATAAGGATAAGAATACGAAAAAAGTTATCTAGTGAACAGCCGTACATTCTAATCATTAGATATCGATCAAATTAATTGGTTTTCATTCTAAAGTGGCTAATATTGAAAAATTTATAGTTAGGCTTTCAATTGTTAATTGTAAACATTATAATTTTCAAATTTACAAAATAGCACAAAATAGCAAATTTTTAAATTGTGAATAACTTGTCTAATATCTACAGATTTGAATACTTTCAGAGGAAATTTTTACTATCAATTGACAACAATTTAACCCCTCTTTTTGCTAATTATAATCAGTTTCTGATTCAAGTATTAATAGTAGGTACTTGCTATCAGTCATTACTGATACGGATAATTTTGAAGTTCTCGAAGGATAATCAAGATTACAATATATATTTCCTGATTTTGAAAAAACATGAAATCTTTTGTGTTGGTTAGTGTGCTCAGAAACCAGTGGATTATGTAACTAACTCTGATATAACAAACAATAAAAACGCAGAAATATGTGATTTTTAAATAGATCTAAATTGAATAATAAACATTTGTCATTTTAGAAAATAAAATAGAATTCGTATGCATTTTACATTGTTTTACTATCAGAAAAATTATTTGTTCCAGTGATGAAGAACTTCAATTCAAAATTAATTCCAAAAGAATTCTAATATATCTTAATTACATTTCTACGTAACAAAATTATAATTCCATTGATACGTGTGACTTTCATTTCGTCGTTAAATGTTACATTTATCACGTTATCGGTACCCCAAATCAGCTGTTGGTTAAATGTAATATCGAAATGAAAAGATAGAAATCAACGTCACAATCTACGTTAGTTGAACATTTTGCAATAAAATGCATAAAGAATACAATATTGTTAAATCGCAGAACAAGTTATTACGCATTTAAGTTAAATGTTTTTTTTTTATTAATACTGCCTGATGATGTCGTATCTTAGTTCAACGTATGAGTAATTAATCAGTATATTCTCTGAATTAAAAGGAAAAAGATTAAAAGTATAAGAAAGAAGCTGCAGACTGAATCACCAAAATTATAAAAAAAATAATAGCGTGAGCAAGATTGTTTGTAATCCGCGAACAAGAATCAAAACAAATGAAATCTATTAACCAGTGCATTATTTCATCTCTATAATTAAATTATCAACTTTCAAAGCATAGCAATTGCCCGAAACTTATCTGAACTATAAAGGTCATCTCTATTTTTATATGCAGCATGTTGAATACGCTGAACGATACTGTTCTGTTAACGTTCCTTGATAGTATTCCATTTAAAATCTGATTTAATGGCAATTGTTTCAATCTTTAACATTTAAACATTTTTATTATATATATAGAATAAAAGAAAAACGTATTATTTTCAAATTTTCATTATTTTAAAATACTACAGGATAACTGCTACGAATACCTTTTTATAAAAATTATTACTTTTTAAGTTTATCGCTCTCATTTTGAATGGTATTTAAATTTGGTAGAAAAAAGGAGTGGAACGATTTTTACTCTCAAGTGGAGACCTATCCTTACATCCTTTTGCTACGATTGCTTTTTTCGAATTTTGTAATGAAAAATATTTGAAGAAAATTTCTATTGCATGCTTACTATATTGAAAATTATAAAAGCGCTTTGTATCGAGTAACTAAGGAAAGGATGAAATTATTCGAGGAATTCCATAAAATAGGAATAAATTAGAATAAAATCAGGATAAGATACTCACCGGGTTTGCAGAGCCGGCTCCAATGGTAAGGGTTGCAGCATATGTATACAGGGTCTTTAGCGGAATGACAGACAGGAAGTCTCTTGAGCTCCGACGAGTGAGCGAGATCCGGCCACCGCCAGATCTGGCAGCAGAGCAGGTGAGGATCGATTGGCGCGTTGTCGTAGGAGCCTCGAACAGGTATCCTGCATCGTTCCGGTCTAATCGGTAACGTGCACGAGTCCTCCGATCCAGAGTTCTGATCATCATCGTTCTCCAACGACGAAGAACGATGAAGTCTACGATGATGTCGATGATGATAATGATGATGGTGATGATAATGATGGTGATGGTAATGATAACGATGGGGCCGATAACATTGTTGCTCGGGATCGTAGCTGTCCTCGGGTTGCTGGTGAGGCACAAGGATGCACGATCCGAGATCGGCACCGGAACTCTCCACGGCGGTGAGTAACATCTCTAGCTGATTCTCCTTGAGCGATTTGAGGAGCTCCTTGCACCTCAACAAACGAACGGGATCCTCGTCATCGTCCTGGCTTTGATCACCGCCGCAACAACCTTGTTGTAGTCTACTCGAGGAGATACGACTACCACCTCCACCTCCACCTCCACCTCCTCCTCCTCCTCCTCCACCTCCTCCTACAGCGCCTCCTCCTGACGACGCTCCACGCGCTCCTCTGGTTGTTTGGCCCGTCGTTGCCGTCACGTTGCTCGTGTCGTTGTCGGTGCCGGTCGTGTTGTTTGCGCGATGAATACGTGACGAATCCTCTTGAGCTTCACACTCGGTTTCATGCTCTCCACGGACCTTGGCCTTTAGGAGACGTCTAGTGAGCGCCGTCCGTTTGCTCCAGAACATGAACATGAAACAGGATTTGCGGTTCGCGCATTTGGGGGCCAGTACTTTTCAACGTAGCCGCGCGGAAAATAAGAAATATCTGGAATCAGTGTCGGGACGCGACACCGTGTCACCACCGCACGTTCCACGGCCCCGCTTTCCTCCCTCCTCCCCCACCACCGCCGCCCCCACACGATTTGCTCCTCTTCCTCCACCGCTTATAACTTCCACGGCTAACGTGCTTCTTTTCTCCTGTTGCTTCTCTTTCGCCAACGTGACGACCACGATGGTAAAATAAAATTGAAAAAAAGAAAAAGAAAACGGAACACGAGAAGTATATACACACACCGGTCGGTTATACACCGACGGGAAAAACAACAAACACGGCTCCAGCGACGACACACATACGAGCGAAGGAATCACAGACGAATGACGGTCCCCAGCGACTTCTGACGGGGCCAGCACACGCGAGTATATTTATTTATGCTCTCCGCGTATCTCGTGCACTTTGGATCACGGTCCCGAAATAGTGTGACAGTCCCCCGTGGCAAGGAACGCTCGCTTCACGAGTACAGTCGTGGACACGCTCGAAGGCGTTAAACGCGCCTCTCCGCTGCTTTGCCGTTTTTTCGTCAGCGCTGCGCTCGCCTCTTCCCTTTCTTCCGCGGCACCGAGAGAATATTTTCAACTGTCGATACGTACGGTTAAGTGACCGAGAACGGAATAAGGGGTTACCTTTATCCTCGTGGTGTTCGAGTCGATAACTTTTTCGAACGAGGTTAGGCCGAATACCGTCTGTTGACCTTGAACTCTCATTTACCTATGTGCCACTGTGTATACACAAACTGGCCGGCTGATTGGTGACGCGAGCAGTACGCGCGCGCGCGTCTGTTCACGCTATTTGCACGTACGATACCAAACGGCAATCTGTTGCCACGATCTCGATCAGCTGGAACACCCTTTTGTTTCGAATTCGTTTACCAACCGATACGTCACGTCTAGCGATCCAATGAGACGGCTCCGTGAGACTGGAAAAAATGGCGCGTTCCACGAATGAGATTGATGTCCAATATGCTGCCGTTCGCGAACGAAATGTATTCGATGAATTATTGTTCGATGGTGGGAAAACGTAGCACATAATATAACAGAGAAAAGGCACGAGGGTTCTATGTCTTGATGTATCGACGGTTCGCGGACGTCAGCTTCGGTTGTCCGTGGACGTACACGGTGCAACGGTCGCCGGCGGGGTTACGGACGCGCACTATTAGTATCACGATACACTTCTTATCCGTTGGATGTAGCAGCACGAATCGGTTGCGCGTGCACACACGACACCGGTTCTTGACTTTCCTTCGACGTTGTATATCGACAGCGATGTGGTGCCTTAACCTCCCGACCCGGCACACAACCACAATCACATCGTACTCGCACGCGTTGAAAATATATGTACGTATATCGACGCGGTTCGTCTTACGAAAAATATTGTTTTATATCTGCACGAATTTGTTTCTTTTTTTTTTACTTAGGGAACGTTTCTGCCGACGATAGAGCAGGATGCTTGATCAATGTCCCTCGAATGTCGGGCCTGCAAGCCCTGCAGGATACGATAGTGCCGTTTTCGTTCTTGATACTCCTTTGCCCGTGCCGTCGCCAATGCCGGCGCACCGGCACCACATAACAACAACGACGACGACGACGACACTTTAACCTCAAATCCGAGATTGTCGCGTCGATCACTCCCCGTCATCCGTATACGCGTATCACCGACTGACATTTTCCGCTTGCATCGTCCGTCTTTCTCTCTCTAACTCTTCACTGTTTTCTCACTGTTCACCGTAACACACTTGTCGCTCGTCACCCATCGCCGTCGCCGGCCTGCGGGCTTGTTCGCGCGAGGCGACCGCGAGGACGCGCACTGTCACATTCTTGAAATCGCTGCCCAAAGAGCTAGCGAGTACGTTTACGGAGGGGGATAATGCGAGAGCAAGACGGATAAACTGGCGGAGAGAGCAAAATACACACCGAGGAAAAGAAGGTAGGGAGGACTAGTGCACTCTCCGATCGGATATATAACTCGCGGAGGGCGAGAGAGGTCGAACGAGAGTAGCAGCGCTTCGGTTGCACTTTTAAAACTTCGACACGTACGGTACGGGACGAATGATAAAAAGAGTTTGTTGCGTGGCGAACGTGAAGAATTCCTTTCAGTCTTCTCGCGACGTGTACCTTACGATCTTCTATCGTTTCAAATTTCTTTCGTACAGTAGCGCTTGTCTTCTTCGCGCACAGATACTGACGTCGTCACGGGACAAACTGTTGCGAAGAACAACCGCGATTACAGCCGTAACACGACTCGACTCGGCTCCGCTCGACGACGCGACTGGTACGCACGAGGTCTCCGTCATGAGCGCACACACCGATTTCCACCGCCTCTTCCTCCACCTCCTCGTCGCCACCGTCGCTCGTCTCGTCCCGTTCGTCTCGTCTCGGCGCGCCGATACACCGACCGCAGCATACTAAACACACAAGGGAGATTGTTAAACATGGCCGTCGCTGCCGCGCCATTATTTCCCGCATTAGCCATGAGAGGCGCCACTTGCGCCGCCGCTCGTATCTATCGGGATCATACTTTTCAAAATTTTATTTCGTTCCCTTCCATTTTCGATTCTTCCGATTAATAATATTATCAATTACAAAAAATTAACCTCATTTACAAACTATATTCTTGCTAAATAGTCGCCTTCCATTTTAAATAGCGAAGGAATTTAAAACAAAAATTTCAACTCATAAACTGAGCTGTACTTTTTTTTCTAGTAACTATACATCTCATTCTTTTAATAGAAGGTATGTTTAAACATTTCCAACCTAATAAGTCTTTGAGAAATTATTGAAATACGAATTAATTAATCATGATTCCTTAAGCGATAGAGGGAGAAGCGTTGGAAGGAGAAGGTAGCGATGACAGGGGATGAGGGAATAAAGCTAACAAGGGCGCGGGGCAGGTTCCCGTAGGTAAGAAGGGGGGCGAAGCGCAAGGTGGACTCATCCGAAGACGGGGGCGTCAGCCGGTCGTAGTTACTCGAGCAGACTGACGCCAGCGCCTCTACGTAGCGCCAGCGCCAGTCATCGGCAAGTATTCCACCCCGAGGGTCAACATTCCAAGACGAATTTCAGTCATGATATCTCTCGTAAAAGAAACGTTCATCCGCTGTGTATTATTGCTAAATGACAAAGGAATGTTAACAAAAAGAGACCGTCTACTTGGAAAGAACTTATTTGTCACTTTATATGTAATTTGAATAATTATACTTACATGAATCAATCAACAGGATTAGGTGTTTGCAGGGTCATTGGAATACCTGTAACAAAATTATTTTTTTTTTAGTTTTATGTAATTCATATCATCAAAATTCTATTAATTGCAGTATACTCTAAGTTTTATTATTTTAATTGACTTATAAATTAAACATAAAGTCTATTAATACATTTACTGCTGCAGGGACTATCAGTGGCCGGTGTATACAATTTATTATAATTGACTAACTGAAAGCAACAAAGTTACAGAATTAATAAGGCAATAAGTAGAAAGCTTGAATCGAAAACTAAAACGATCATATCTTGAATAATTAAAGCGTGCCTTGCTACATACATCCGTTTTCACTGTGCCAGTCAACGTGTTAATAGGCTTCCGGTCGATAAGATGTTAAGATGACAGTAAAAGATTTCACCACCAGCCTTAATTAACAACAATAAAAGAGTAAATTGTGTGATTCCATTCGACTTAATGGCAAGTAAATTACTTGAACCTACATTTTAATTAATAGGCACCTACTATATATACAGACATAAATCAGTATTACGAATCTAATATACAGGGTGTCACTTCTTAAATTAAGTTTTCCACTTGCTACCTTGTATTAATAATATAATTTCAGTTTCATATAAGAATTTTTTTAAGATCCCTTAAAAATTTAAAAATTTTGAATAATATGACTTTAAGGAAAAATAACCCTTAAACTTTTCCATGAAAAACAACGAATAAAAAAATATTTTCAAATTATCCATGGAAAGATAGAGAAATCAGAATCGGTGCCATCCGTTGAAAGCTAACGGAGCTTCATTAATTTATATCACCGGGACCATATTGAAAATGACTTCAGAGGATAAATCAGCGTCTTGACGCATTAAAGTTCGCTCTTTTTTTGCCGTCCGCCGTGTTCGTTTTCTTCAGCTTATGTCTAGACGCGTTATTTCACCGTTGGAACCCGCTCCGAAATGATATAGAATTTAGGAAGTTATTTAGTTATGTATGTCTGGCGTCCTGAGCTGGCTAGTAATCAGGCGCCTGGCCTCCGCAAACTGTCCCTCGCTCTTTCTCTCTCTTCGTACCCCTCCTCGCTCCGGCTCCCTTCTTTACCACTCGTGCTCTGATTTTGTCTCGTTTCATCGTTCGTTCGTTCAGTAAAGCCTGGTAAATTCTCCAGGGCCGTCCACGTTCTCGGTGCCTCGGTCCAATTAAGCGTTAATCAAGGTGCCCTTCCACGTCGCGCACGAATCTACGTATTTCTAGACGGTTATCCGTGGGATAAAAAAGCGTTTTATCCATTCGAAGAACGATGACATTGAGAAATTCTATTTTCGCGACTACTCGTAATGATTCTTCCTTTGCTCTATCATTTACGTATTAAGTAGTATCTGCCTGCTTATTACAGGTGCATTATCAATGCATTTGCCGAGTACACAATGAAAACTGAAATCGACAAGATAATCTCGGTGTATTTACTCGCAAATTCATCGTTATACCGGATCAGACGGTTAGCCCATATTATGCGTCCCAAGAAAAATAAAAAGGATAGACGGAGGCTAAATAGCGATCTTTCGTGTGTTTAACGTGCTTTCATGATATTATTAACATTCCTAAACAAACAAGAATGTAGCGGCACGGATCTGAAGAGGAGCATCCCTACGGCTGGCCAGATTATACGTCGGAGTTAAGGTAGAAAATTATAAGCTATGGCGGTTAGCCGTTTGGTAACGGGCTGGATTAGGGTAGGACCCAAGGAACAAATCGCGTCTTTTGCTCGCTTCTATTTCCAAACACGAAAATTATTCACGTACCGTGTAAGTAGTATAGCGCAAAGCACGGCGCCATTCTTGACATATCGCGCCGATGCGATGGTACCGGCAAGTCGTCTGAACGGATCGTAGAAACACACGGAAACGATCTCGAGAACGGACAAGCAGACAGTCCAGCATAAACACTGGCGCCTTGTGGAACAATGCAGGAAGGAACGTCGGTACCGAGAAAGCAAAATGCATCGGGTAACTCTATCTCGAAGATCAAGATGTCTGTCTGATTCTCACTGACGCACTTGTTGAGTACTTTGAACCACGACAAGAATGTTAATTGATGTTTTGAAATATGCTGTTAATCAGATTTCCTTTCAACGATAAAGAAAATTAGAGCCTGGTGTTTTTTATATTAATGAAAATTGTATAGAACAATGATGGAAATAGATGATACATTATATTCTAAATAAACCTGGGTGGCGACAAGATACACCCCCTTAATCCTAGAAAAATGAAGGGGTGTTCGTTGAACCCAGTTAGACAGTATTGAAAATATATCATTTTTCTCACATAAGAAATTTCCAAAAAATTATTTATTTTCACTTATGCCTTCGAGATTAACACTTTTAGGTACTGATTTCTTAATATAAAAAATATTTTTGCAATTTACTCTATACATAAATAATTTTTTAAGTTATAAATGATCTTTTTTCATTGCAACTCGTACAAATTGACTTTTCAATTTACCATGCCTTGATCCTGCTCGAAGAATCTAATTAAAATAAAGCAAAACTATTAATTGACCCTAAGTCTTCATCATACGATAATTAATCATTGTGATATTTTTCGCTGGACGATCAATAATGGATCAATCTTTCGAAGGCAAATAAATGATGATCGCATCGTAGAATATAGAAGAAATATATCTCGTTGGATTGGTTCAAGCATGTACAAAGTAAGAACACGATACTTTTCTTCTTTTGGACGAGGCTGCAACCCCCGGCGGCGCCGCTGTCAACGCTCCAAATTCCAACCACGACGACCAGAGCGATCGCCGTCGTTCTTCGAAGCGGCTACTCACGATTCCGCTATAATTCATCTTCCGCGAAGCGCGGAGACGTTTCGGGCTATTCTTGGTCCGGTGGAAGGCTGTCTTTCGGGCTGGACCCCCGATGAACCGGGACGACGCTTTGAGACCTCGTGTCAAAATGACCAATCGTCAAAATTTCTGTCTCTTTGCTATCAAGTAATACGAACTTGTTCATCGGCTCGCTTACTCGTGTCTGACGGCTGTTCAACATCCTCTTTTATGAGTTTGACCCAGAATTTCTTCCTAATTGAATGCTCAAAGGTCGGAAGGATGAAAGCAATTATAAAGGACAATAGTTGAATATGAAAAATTTTGGAGGTGAAGTACTCTGAAGAATTAGAATTCAAATTGAATTCAATTAACTAATGATCAATCGACATAAAATTAACAAACTATTTTATTAACATGTAATGATATTAATTATTAAGAATATTGGTCCCTATAATCCTTTAAGTGAATTGATTTTCAAATGAGGTGGAAATAAAAATTTCACGGTAGGAAATGGGACATTATATCGTTCTTTTTTTGTTACCATTGTTCTTCGTTTTTCGGAATAGTTTAAAGGAATTTTTCAGCAAAATTTTCCGAACTAGACGGACAATTAACGCGACAACTTTCCTCTTCCTGAATAAGATCAAGCCACCTGTCGCTTAACCACGTTTCCATGCGTTTATGGAAATTCGAAAGCATTAACGGCTTCCGTTCGCGAATGGAAAAACCTGGTTGCCCCTTTAGTAGACACGTATCATGCTCACCGAACCGTATTTAATCGTCTACATCAGTGGCGCCTAACCCCACTTAATTCGTCGTCGTAAAACAAGGTGGGACATTCATTTTTCCGGTTGCTATTGCTTTTAGAATTCCTTTTCTCCTTCTGTCACAATATTGAGTACATGCTCAATTTATAAGTTTAGTGTAATGTACAGTAGGGGACAAAAATAAGAATAACTACACTTGGTAGTTTATAATAATTGAACATTTGGGAAATGGTAACATTTCATCGAGTACATTGTAAAATGTATTAAATTTTTAACAAAATCTGGCGATATTTTATTTTATAAAAAATGTCCTTTTATCAAGTTTCCATCATAATACGTGTATTTATGGGGTGTATGGGGGCTGCGAAGCAGAGGGAAGAAAATGTAACGATATAGGGGCATATTATTCCATTAAGAGTAGAAGAACTAGTAATTATTAATCTAGTAATGGAATTTTTGCCTTCCCAATAATCAGTCCCTCAATTTTTCCACCCTTCAACAATTAATTTTACCCCACCCTATGCGTGCAATACTTGGAAACATCAGTGTAAAATAAATTCGCACCTGAAACTCGAATCCCATCCCAAAGTCGAAATCTCGCGCGAGTAATAAAACCATTTATTTCCCGTCTATTTCGGTGATCGCTCGACCGAGCACAGTTCACGTCATTCTTCCTGGCCTATTATTTCGACTGGCGTCGCGTTTCTTCCCCCGATGGGGAATCACGAATCCGACTTCGTCGACCTTATATCCGCCACTTTTTGTGCAAGCCGGACGCAAGATCACGTCAGCCGGAAGATTCTACTTTGGGACGGACGCGAAAGTTGTTCGCTTGCTTGCGGTGTCGAGCACCTGCAGTCGCACGACACGGCACGGTACGGCGGGGACGAGCACGTTGCGACGGCACTGTGTAAAAGCAGCGACGAGGACGACGTGTCCCGATGGGTGGGAGAGGTATGATGGGACAGGTGCGGCTCGTAACTTCCTGGATAATATCGGCCGGTCCGGACGCGCGACCGGCGCTAACGCTGACGCTTACGTTAGCGGTGGCGCCACTCGGATCCACGCTGTAGGCGCCTGTCCGTCCCGTTCCTCTCCCCTTCCCCTCTGGCTCCTGCACCCTCCTCATGACTTCATCCTATCTCTTTCTTACTCACAACGCTCTCTGTCTCACATGTTCGCCCATCATTTCTCTTTGGCCATAACGCGTACCACTGCCCTCCACTAGCGATGGGTGGGAACCGTACTCGAAGAAAACAAATTTAATTTATTTTTTATTACTAGCCTGGAGTAGTTATTTTGCGTTCAGATACAATCCAGTATTCTCTTATTACCTACTGTCTTAGTATCCTTGAGAAAAGGTCTAGGCAATTTCGGTTTTCTAATAAATTTTGTTTTTTATTTAGTAAACATCAGTCTATTCAATATTAAATATTGATATATAGTTGGGGATAAGTTTCCGAATGGCCCTACCAAAATTAAGAACCGATTAAAATTGGTTTCAGAGCTGGATGTCTTACCGTTTTTGAGATATCGTGGTAAGAAATTTTTGTACAATTTGGGACTACGTATGCGCTATTCGATACTGAGCATGCGCTATTCAACACTGCGCATGCGCTATTCAACACTGCGCATGCGCTATTCAACACTGCGCATGCGCTATTCAATACTGCGCATGCGCTATTCGATACTGAACATCTGCTATTCGATACTGCGCATATACAGAACCTAACCTTACCAGGATATCTCGAAAACGGTAAGACATCCAGCTCTGAAACCAACTTTAATCGGTTTCTTGTAGTCAATTTAAGTTATATACCGAACTTGAGTTCTCAATTTTGGTGGGGCCTAATTTTTTTATGTAATAATCCTTTTTAAAATTACTCGAAACCAATATCAAGAAAAAAAAATACCAAGTTTACTAAAATAAAGACTTTGGAGTGCCAGAATGTTTCCCAACAAAATTCCTATCATTTAAACTTAGAATTGTTTGAACGGTACACATACATGATTACTCCCATCGCTATATTCCACTCTTACGCGTTCCCGTCGTTTCTCAGACAAGTGTATGATGTTGCTAGCAAAACCTGCACCATCTTTATTCATGCATACTGGGTAGTTGACGGGAGGCGAGATGCCGTGGAGAGCACGTATGACCAAGGTGTATGAATACGAAATCGTGCACATCGACACGGAGAATTTAATATTTGAAAGGCCCTGTCGGCTGCATTTGAAGTTTCGATGCCGTTGGAATTATTTAAAGCGACGATTTTAGCAATCTTTTGCACACTGTCACTCTTTTTATATAATTTGTTATAAATTCGTGACCTTCGTGCATACTTCGTTACAAATCCTATTGCAGAAGAATTATATAATTAATAATTGAATCAAGTGGCATTCACTTTGATAAAAAATTGTTATGCGCTGAATTTTTACAAATAATTCTAATAAAATCAGCACGTTTCTTCTTTTACTAACGATATGGTATATAAAATATCGTTAGTATATATCTTTGTTAAAAATTTATCAAAATTATTGCATTCACTGATATGATCACACTACAGTTATGTTGCGGCGCAAAACTCTTTGATGTCTTTGAAAAAGCCGACAATGAGTGGATTGCATGCATTGAATGCAACGAAGATTTTTGCATACACTCGTATGTACCACATACGTCCAGACTAATATAAATTTATTAAAATATACAAAAATTTTTGTTAAACGGATATAAATTTCTATTGCTATGGACCCAACTCGACACTGAAAGTGATAGAGGTGATAAAGAAAATTTGGAATTTGTTACACAGGGTTAAATATAGAAAGTAGATGATTATATTCTAATAGTGTCGGTTAATATCATTGGTTCGATGGCTACAGAAAATGCATAGCATATTTTCTATTCCATACGACCATCGGATCATACACATTGCATCGCTTTCCTTCAACGTCATTTATCAGAATGCGCCTTGTATACAGAAGATGAACGCAACGCAATGTCAATGTTACTGTCGTGATAATGTTGAAGGTTGCGATGCGTATCTACGTACATTCATGCGGAGATCACGGATATAAATAATGCAAAACGTAAATAATGTCATTTTTATTAGACATGGACGGATACTAATGTTATTTCAATATTATTTCCAAGCATCGTTATTCTTAACCAATCGAAATTCATCGTTTCGCGATTAAGTATCATTAATTTTATTATCTCACTGGAATTATGATAAATGAAATTCTGTTTTGAAGAGAAAATATGAAAATAAAGAGTAGTCCTTCTTAAGAGTAATTCGATATTTATTTTATATCGCAAAAAACTATATTTTGCTAAGCGATTGTAAGAAAAATTGAAAGACTGGAAATAAGTAATAGTAATATTAGATAATATTTATAATAATATTCATAATGACAGAGATATTTAAAAAGATATTTGAATAGAAATTTAATAAAAATGGCATTTGTAAAATAAAATAAGAAGCAACGTTTATCAAATTTGTTGAGTAAAAATTACTCGTTTCTAAAAAATAAGCTCGATGCGTTCTCTTCTGACCACGTGGTTGCCACACGCGCAATAAACTGAACTGTCAACATTTCTTACCTGTTGCAATGCCGGGATTCCCCTATTGGTTAACTGTCGCGCATGCGTCGTGCCAGAGTTCAAAGTAGAATTTATAATAGCGACTTCCGTAATCTAAAGTTCGTTGCACTAATTGTAAAATCCAATGCAAACGCTCACATGATAAATTCAATGATAGTGCAATATAGTCTATGTTAAAGAAACAAATATTTTAAAGAAAGTTTATATTCGTAAACACAGTTCGTGTTTTTTGAATTTGTATATAGTTATATCCTGCTATTTCCATAACTAATCATGTTTTGTTTAATTAATTAATAATTCTAATAATAACATTTCTTAATACATAGTAAAAATATTTTAAAGAGAACTATTTTTATTTCTTATTTCAATGACGAATTTAAAAGATAAAAATGCAATGTATGATTGATCCCTAAAAGTATCAATTTCAATATCAGAATGATCATTATTATAGAATTTAATCCTTTCAAAAATGTCTATGATTATATTGGAAGTAAAGCACGAAAAATGTGTAACACGCACGGATGCTTCGAATTGCACCGCGGCGCGGGATATTCAAACGGCGCGCAACCGACTGTACCGTGTACTCGCGATTTAGGCTGATCGTGCCACGGTTCCAGCTCGTGAAAATCTGTCAATTGTATCTCACTATCGTAAGACGAATTGGAATAAACAATGAAAGACCGACTGCGTCGATCGTCGAGCGTCGACTGGCCGCTAGCCCGACGACCGCGCAATATGTAGCATAGTGTAGAGAGGACGACTGGAGCCTGTCTGCTCATCCCTGTGGATGTCTGTTGCCTAAGGGCGGCCTCGTCCGGCGCGAATTCACGGCGACAGAGCAACGGCGCGCCAGTAACGTGGCGACGCGGATCTTGACGCCATTTCACCTACATGTATGCGTATGTGTACGTGTGCTACCCCCTTGGCTCGTTTGTGTATCCACCAACCGTACGGGGTAACGAGTGAGCAGGATGAAAGGAACGGGAGGGTACGGGCACGCATGACCAACGAGAACGCCCTGGCAAATCGTACACACGAAGGTTCTTGACCGACTGAAGTCGAACGACTAACCGTATACCAAGACTTTTCTTGCTCCAAACTGGAGATAAACAATGTCATTTGTGCTAGCATCCAAAACCCCATCCCCCTGCCGGTCTGATTTTAGAGATCAGGCTTCGTCTCTTCCCTGTACAGACGTGAAATATGGCAAAATTGACAACCTTCATTGACGTAAACACGAGCATTTGGATGATGAAGATTTCTCGTGGAAATATGGACTCCTATGATGATTCAGGTTTGGTAGCAAGCTTTCTTTTTCAGTCAATTATTCTGGCATAAATTAATTACTCTGTAAATGGGAAACTATTATTAATGAAAGTGTTATTTATCTAATCACCCATGTATGAAATCTTAGAAATATTTTATTAGTAACTGATTACTTTAATTTTTCCATATTTTTTGCAAAATATTAATTGTCCACTTATTAAAATTGTATTTGAAACATTTAATTACGTAGGTACTGATGAATCAAATAATTAATTAGCCGGTTGATTTTAATAGATGATACTATTACATTGAACAATTTATAGCATTCTACGTATTTATCCTTTCATCCATGTTAACTACGCAGATGAATACTAAGTAAGTGTATGTTTGCTTGTTATGTTAAAAGTCAAACACTATTTCTGTCACGCGCGTGTATTTAAATGTCTTTTTTTTGGACGGCTCGGAACGCGGATAATGATAGCGATGGGGTGAAACGGAATGGTAAGGATCATTAATGTGTCTAATTCCGTAGCATTGGAATGCAACATCATAAATTGTCCGAAATTCGACTGATTCTCGACGAAATTTGCTCGGAAACATATGTTTCTTCACATTTGTTACTGCCAAGGGGAATGAAACGTGCTCGCACCGAAATTGTTCTATAAATAAACAAAGTGTTCGAAAAATCTTTATTTCTTATGAACTGCACTATTGAACGAGTACATAGATTATAAATATTTCAATTCTGTTAGTAATTATATTTGCAATATTTGGTAGAAATATTTATCAAACTTGGAAATAATTAATGAATATTTCTTTTAATAATAACTGTGAACGTTAATTTGTTAATTTTAAAAATAATATATACTAAATTTTAAATATTAAAATTAATGACTTATTACCCAGAAAAATATATTTGATACCCACTTTTACCCTACTTTCCCTGTCACTATTATTCAAAAGAGTTACAAGTCGTGGAAACTCCACTCGACACTGATTTCTTGGATCATTACGTTAGCAACAATACCTCCGATTTCAATTTGTTGCCGAGCAATCAAGGAGCGTTAGCGATTCAACTTTACGAGTCGCCCCCCCTGGTACACAAGGAAACGAAGAAGGAACGTTATAACGTCCTGATATCAATTCTCTTGTAATGACACAATCGTAGCCAGTCAGTCGGATGTTGGTTTCAAGTGTGGGTGGGAAGGTGATGGTGACGATCTAGGTCCGGCTTCGTTCTCCAACTCGTTGTTTATCAAGCTCCCCTTCGCATAACAAGCATCAAAACACTTGGCGCCCCACGCTGGAGCCGTCGTAGTCATCTTCCGCCCCAATGGTCGCTCCTATTTTTCGTGGATACGCGGGGATAGGCGCTGGCATGGGTTAAAACATGGGAACAAGGGGAGGGTGCATCTCTATACATTGAGGCGCCGTCTCTAGCCACCGAAAAAATGAATTATAGTTCTGGACCTGGAACCATCGCGAACTCGATCGTTCGAATCACTCTTAAAATGCATGAAACGTTCAAAAAACACCGTCACATTATAATAATTATTGCTCTGTACCTCATTTACAATTATAGCAAAAACACTTTTAAAATGATATTACTAATGGAATGTCTTGACGGTACCCTATTATATAATATATTAAACATTGTTCCGGATTGTTTTTATTAATTATAATTGTTAATTGAGCTGTATAGGAAGTTGAAGTTACTTCTGAATTCAGGATCATCCCTTATTAATATTTCCAAGCAAATGGAGGCACTAAATAAAACGAAAATCAAATAAGTAATTTCATAAAAAGAAACAAATATTCACCTGTCCATACATCCACCCTCGAAGCATCGATCTATTTACGATTATCCTCTGCGAAAGCATCCATCGCGAAAGAAGTTTCCGGGGTAAACATCTTTCGAAAACATTTCTTACAAGCTTGATCGATATTACATGAATTCTATAAGAACGATAAAACCAAATGTCATTCGTCGGAACAAACGTTTTACGATCGTCCGTTAGCTAACGTAGGGAGAGAGCAACTATAAAGACACACCGGCACCTCGGTCGACGTAAATAAATCCTAGATTCATAATTATTCCTAAACAAGAAAACAGGAGGATATGAAGAAGATTCAGCTGACAAACACGAGTCGATGATACAAGGGGTATGGGTAAGGGGTAAAAGGCGTCCCCTGCTTGGCGACCGATGAGCAACGTCCCACCCCCGTCGTGACGATGCCACGATGCCAACAGAAGTATTCTTGCATTGGTCGACGTCGTCGTGGTCGTCGAGAGACATCGTCGTCGTCGTCGTCTTCGTCGTGTCGCGGGTCGGCCAGTGGCGGCGACGGTGTCGGCGACGCTCTACGGTTTGGCGTCGAGGTTAGCGCCGGCCGGTCGCTGGAATCGGCGCCCGGCTGTCTCTTTCTCCCTTTCCCCGTTTCGGCCGTCTGCACGAAAGAGCGGCCCCGTCGTTTCGTCGTCGTCCGTTCGACGGCGACGACGTGGCTCTGCCGGCTGTCGCCAACGCCATCCGCCGCTTCTGCACCACCCTCCTCGCTTTTTTTTTTTTTTTACCCTGCCACCCTATCGATATATCTATGTATTCGACGACGATGTGTTTAGATAATGAAACTCTACGCTTCCAAAAAATTTGCAGTCGAACCGCATCAACAACCACCGTTCGAGGGTCCTCCTCCGCTGCGCCCTCCCTGCTTCTTCTTGCGCGTTAAACACGCATTCAAATCACTCACAGGTGAACAACGGCCCTTGTCTTTCGCGTTGCTGATGAAAGATTTTTGGAGATTTAGGACTTTCTTTTTCAAAATTGACTTCATTTTTAAGAATTAAGAAAGTAAATATAGAATTAAAATTGAATGAAAAATGAAAATGTAATTTTCATTATGGGTTGTATAGAGGCAAAGGGAGCGGAGGTTGAAAGAAATTCCTTTAAGGAAGAAATTAATCCATTTCTCGCCAAGCACGGACCAGCAAGAAAGCAGCAACGTCTGGAATTCTGCGTCAAGCGTATCCGTAAGACATGCCAAAGTTTCGACGAACTTTATACGACTCCGTGGAATATAAAGTCCTGCATTACAATAGATTCCTTCCTTCCAGAGCCACTTGATCGATGCTCTAATATCGTCGAAGGAGAATATATCTCGTCTCATAAGAGGTTTAATTTGTAGCGTAATAAAACTGGGTCCCCTTCGAATATGCTGAGATTGAATTGGAATCAGACGGCATAATACTTTCACATTTTACAATAGCCGAGTTACAGCGTAAGCGGAACGTTCTCCATTGGGCTTTCTCGATAATTACATTTCAGGTCCGTGTCGCAGGATCAGAAATCATCGGTTGGTAGGATCGCGATGGAAAAAGAAAAGCTCTGCCAAACGAGAAGTAAGCCGAGCCAGCGAAAGTTTCGCTCGATTGGTTGTGCGTTCGAAGAAGGAACCGGGCCGTCCGAAACTGCCCTGTCTCGACGCCGTTGCTGGCGGCTCCTATACGTCCTTTCCTCTGATCTCCTTCCACGTATCCCCCTCGTCTCGGCTCGTCCTGGCGTCCCTTAACCCAAACCATTATCCCGTATACCAGGATTATAGGGCAACGGGACCGACAAACAGGCTTGGGCCAGACCCCCTGGCACCCTCGAATCAACTCTCCCTCCTCCTTAACCCTCTTCGTCCGTCGTGTGTACACCAGCGTAGTCGACGACTACGCAAACAAACCCATGCATCGACTAACATAACTTAACAATCTCCTTCATTCTCGTACTTCCGTCCTCTCCTTTTCCTTCTCGATAGACCATCGTACGGTTGCTGCTGCAACTGATTGCACCGTGATGCACCAGACTACCACCCAGTATCGGGCAGCATCGTTACACGCTCGCCCACGGCAGCTCGTTTTCATCTTTCGGAAAAACAACGCCACGGATTACACGAACGATACTTGCCGCAAATTATTATGGTTTTGAGGTTGTTCCTGATAATTGTTTTTTCGGACAGAGTATAATGGCCCGGGTTCCGAGGAGCGTTTTATTTTTACGTTACCCCTTGCTGTTCGAAGCTTCTCGGTGAATCCTTGAAAGAGACTATTGGAGGAGGAAATATTACCGAGACGTGATTCATGTCCGTCTGGTGGATGAGTTTCAATCCGTTCTAGGGTGGATTTTATTGGATTTGTTAATAGTGGAAGGAATGTATGACTGGTTTTGTTGCATTTGGAGATTTGGAACAATGTTTTATTTGTTATTATTTCTTATTTCTATATTATTTAAATTTTTTATTATAATACAGTTATTTGAAAGAAGAGGGTACTATCAGCATACTAAATTACTTGGAAAATTGATAGAGTTCCATTACCAATTTTTGCAAAATTAATAATTGATTGCTAGAATGAATTAATAATATTCAGAGAAGAAAGTAAAAATAAATAGTGATTTTACTTATTGCAATGATAATATTTTAGCAATGAGTATTTTTATTTATGAACCATCTTAATTAATTTTTATGATATTATTAGAATACATTTTATCCATTAATAGTTTAACGCAGTCTTTTAATCGAAACGCTATTTAACACAAATATGTGCAATTTAATCACGTTTCGGTGATTTTTTTTCATGCCAATAGAATGTTGTAGACGCGTCTATGCAGTTTGTGCAGTTATGAGAGAAACCGGTTTAAAAACCTGTATAGCGAATTCTATTAATGCAAAGAAATTTACTTCCATTTGGAACCGTTCAAAAAATATCGAAGTATGCTTGTTTCGAACGACGATTTTGAAATACGAAACCATTGCACAATGCAGCTCATATACAGGGTGTATGATATAAGTAGAAGGTAATGATTTTCAAAATGTATAATAATCAAAATGTTTAAAAATCGAACAATGCCTGTTGTTCTATTGTTCAATTTATGATCTTCTAAATTTCTTCTATTTCAAAGCTCTAATTATTCTAACTCGATTACATTGTACAGAAAGGAACATTCATTGTATATACAATAATAACCGCAATAAATGCTGCGTAAAAAAGATAGAGAAACACATTAATTAGCGTTTCTTATTTTATATTCAGAGTGTAACAAAGTAACAACCGCTATTCAATTATCCTGTGAGAAATTCACAGGTGAGCTAGGCAGGTATCATAAAACACCTCCACCACAGATCAGCCGGTAAAGAAATTCAATGCTCTCCAAGCGAAAATCCGTATCGACAGAAACTTAACCTCTATCGTGGAACGTCAGACGTTCGTTCGGTCGCACCAAATGTCATGGGAATGTCGTAAAGGACAAATAACGTTAACTAAACCGACTTTCGTCGTTCGTTAATCTGTCTTACGCAACGGACAGAGTTATATTATTAATAATAACGATAAGATTACTCCCGTTTAGTCGCGTTGCGTCGCGTAATGAACGCGAAACAGCGCGTAACGATGCCTCCTCGACTTGTGCTGAGAACGAGCGTAGACAACGTACGGACTAGAACGTTCATACATTAGTTTCTTGTGAATCAAAGCAGTGTACGGTCACACGGTGTAGTGAACGCGTTATTCAAACCTATTTATTTCATTGATAATTCACCAGGTTGTACTCGTTTCACTATTTCATCTCGTTTTGTGACAGTTTACGATTATTGAAACATGGGTACCGCTTCAAACGCGACATATTTAGGGCTCGATCTCAGCACGCAGCAGGTAAATCCTTAAAAATTTGTGATCTGCTTCTCATAACGAGTTGCTGTACATTTTCATTTAATGAATAATCTCTGTCGAACATCACGTATTCTCCTTGGGCAAAAAACTGATGGTTGACATGAGTCATAGGTGACAGCTTGACCAACTCCATTTCTCTCGCTCTTACTTTCCTCTCCACTATTCATTTCTGTGTTTCATTTTTATTGTCCTGGTTTTAGAACTTCACGTTCTATTTAGAAATAATTAATATAGTCGTAAGATAAGTTATAGAAAGTATTTGTTATTCTGAAGAGTGGTTTTCTTTTGCATCTTTATGATGCTACCTTACTGGCTTCTACTGCACATCACTCACTGCGCATGCGCTTAGTAACGCGCGTTTCTTTCGAACTTACAAAAGTGTTTTTCAATGGAATATATTATTTAAAAAGAACGTACTTTAATTGTTATTACCCAAAACTTCTATTTGTTTTCAAAGATTAAATGATTTTAAATGCAGAACAATATAACATAACGAACTATGTAGTTATATATTTAAACTTAATTATCTTTTTATTTCGCATAATCAATTTTAAATTACTTATATTCTCAACTTTTAAATATTTATCTCTACAGACATATATCAGCAACATTTTTTCTTAAAATTTTAATCACACAACACATTTAATTGGTTATATATCAATCTGTTTTTTTAATAAATTAAAAAGGCAAACAAGTAAATTGTAGTGATAAATTTACTGCAATTTACCTTTGTATTCGAAGAAACATGTAAATACGGTACAGTTTATTAGAGTGATACATAAGCTCATCTTCGTTAATAGATAATTGTGTTTCGCAGTGTGATGTGCGTGCACTGGGTCATAATTATCTAACACGATGATAACATTACGATAAAAGAGTGTATTTCTCCGTGAAGAAAAACGCGGAACACTAAAATACCAGTCGAAAAGATAATTAAAATTGCCTAACACTTGCGTGTGTTTTTCACTTAGAAAACAAAATATTAAAACAAATATCAATAATTACAAATATGAACTAGATAATTAATTTTTGTGTTATCATTAATATTGTTTAATTATTTCTCTCTTGATAATACAAACTGGTATTGTACACTAACAATTATGTATATTTTTCACTGTATCAAACATAAATGATTTCTTATTAAGTAACAGATATAGAACTGCATGTTTGTGATCGTGAAATAGTTGTTTATATATTCGCACGATAAGCTCGAAGGCATCGCATTGAATTTCACATTCAATTTTATCGCCTTCAATTTATATAGAGTAGCGTAATTAATTAATTACTTTCCTGTAGAAAGAAAGATTTTTGTTTTTCGCAAAGCAAAGGCAACTTGGAACATGAGACAAAAAAGTGATTAACAAAATATTTTTGGCCGTAGTTGAAAGCGGTAGTCGTTGATAATAATCTCGTCGTTCTCCACGAATCCAGTGTACAATTCGACAATGATCTGCCAGAATTTAGGTATGTTTTATAGTTGTGTCCCCATGTTTGTGCATGTAATATTAATTTTTTTCAAGTCTATAACATATTGTTATTTATTAAAAAAAATTCTTCCTAGCCAGATTAATCTTTTGACATTTAATATTCGACCAAAACATGTTCTTTTTGGTTCAAGACGGTATTCAAATTCAAGACGAAAAAACTATTAGTAAAATTAATTAATAAAATTGCTATATTTTGGCCGAATGACTTTTATGATTTTTAAAAACAAATTTGAACGAATCTCTGGCACGAAATCTCGATCATTTCGTGATCAATTACACATTACATGATTTTAGAACGTACGGAGGAGTCATTCAAAAAAAGGAAGAGCAACACGTTGTGGTGGCTCCCACCTTGATGTGGGTTAAGGCCCTAGACATGATACTTGATAAATTGCGAGTGTGTGGTGTCGATTTTAGCAAAGTGGCTGCTATTTCAGGATGTGCACAGGTAAAAAAATACTTCATACGGGTAAATTATACGATTAAAACATCACAGATACTTTTGTATTTTGAAGGATCCATTAATTCTTATCTATATTTACTTTAACAATTCCTTATTTTCTTATGAAAATATTCAAACATTCCTCTGGAACCCCATTTCTAAACCTTTTCACGTCGACTTATGTTACAAAAATAAAAATGTTCACCCTTTAATAGGTAACGTTTGAATTTCCATAGGAATCCACTTACTATATTATTAGAAATTCCAATTAGAAATACTTTATAATTAGAAATACTTTATAATTAGAAATACTAATTAGAAATTATGAATAACGGAAATAATAAATAAGATTTAAAAAAAAAATACTATTAGAACCCCATAGATTCGAACCCTGAAATATACTTTTTTAATCCGTTCCATATAATGCTGACAAAGAGCAAAAATGTTAATCCTTGTTTTATTGTAAACGAAACTGAAAAGAAGATATAAAAAATCTAATCTGAAGAAAGTTCCTTTTGTCTCAATCAATGTGTGCACGTCTATCAAAGACAGTTTCGCAATACTTGATCTCTATGAAGACGAACATTTTACTGAGCTTGAAAAAAAAGAAAATACAGACATAACTGATAACGTTATCTTTATTCATTATTATATAGCAACATGGCACAGTTTACTGGGGCAAGGGCAGTCGAAATCATTTGCAACGATTGGATCCTGCAAAATTCTTACACGAACAGCTCCTTGCCTCTTTCTCGGTGGCACAGTCACCTGTGTGGATGGATTCTAGCACCACTAAGGAATGCAATGTTTTGGAAGAAATCGTGGGCGGTCCTAAAGTATGTCTTTTTATTTTGTAAAAATTATATTCAAGTTTCTTTGATTCATAAAACAGAACTCTGTTTTTTTATAAAATGAAATTTGCAAACATGTTCCTTTTTTCCTTATTTTTATCTGTACAGTCAGACTATTAAAAATGATGTTTAATTAGGTACCTATGTTCAGTTAATTAAACATTTAATTAACAGTGTACTTCTGATATAATTAACGAAATATTCATTTTAGTTTCAATACATAATATGTGATTAGTCTAAAAATTTTTATATTATTCCTTTGTTTTTGTCTTTTTAAATATATAATTTCTGAAATATTATATTTTATAAGAAAAGTGCGATAATCCCATTCAAAAAAATATAACATGATTTGAGTTTATTGGATATTTTCTATAAATTTTCCATTTTTTTACCATAAAAAGGTACCCTGAAGTGTACAATGACTATCTTATACGTTTAATCAAGAATTTTTCAATAATAATCGCGTGCTGTTCCTCAAGAATCTTCAAACGTAATTTCCATGAATATTCATCCGTGGCGAAGAATTAATTTGCAATTTACATTCGTTGCAAGTCTCGCCAGTATAGTCGTTATCATAGTTTCCGATCTTATTGGCACAGGACATTTTATAAAAATTCTCGTTAATGTTCAGCAAAAGAAGAGAAGAAAAAAGGAATACGTAAAAAGGGTACCGTTTCCACGGTTTCTTGATTATTTTTGGAATCATTTGGATTCAATGTCGCACCAACTCAACTTTTTCCCAATAATCTATCAAGCATTTTATTGATGTTGTTGCTGAGCATCGACAATGGAATTGCTGATAATTAGTTTTCCAGAAACGTCATCGTGACTTTATACTTTGAGTTAAAATAAATTTACCGAAGTTATAAACAATAGCAAATATTTTGGAGAACATGTTTTGAAAATTCATGATATATGCAAGATATAATAATTATTTTACCGATTGTTATTTCAGAGAATTTAATGCAAGAATTGCATTAATTGAGGTATTTTCAATATAAGGAAATGGTACTTTGTGAAAATTTCGCTCTACTTTTTTCACGATTACAATAGTACGAATTGCATCACGCTATTTACAATACAATCGTACTAATTCATGATTAACTCGCACACTAATTAACACAGTAATCGGTTGTTCTTAATGCGATATCTCTGGTATTGATTACAGAAATTAGCAGAGATAACGGGATCTCGGGCGTACGAGAGATTCTCAGGACCTCAAATAGCGAAGATAGCTCGCAGGAGACCGGAAGCTTACAACAATACCGAGGTAAGTACATGTTCGTAAATTACAAAGCACAAAATACACGTTTGTTCGTTTGACTTAATTTCAATTGAGGCATTTAGAACTAAAGGGATGCCAGATATTAAAATATGCATATTATTAAAAAATTTCTTAAAATGTCACTTGCTTCCTTTTGGTTTGGAATGCTTCGATCCTCTGTAAGCACAGGACGATAATTACTTTAGAAATTGAATAGAAATTGAATCGTGAACTAACGTGCCTGATAAGAACGATTACTGTTGCCTGTTTGAATTGTTCTCTTTAATAGATACCGTGTTGCTCGATGTCACTCTATTTAGGTCGTTCTTATTGCGATTATAGAAAAACTACTGCTATTAAACGGATAATACTGTGCAAACGTTGGAATGTGGCTCAAATACGAATAATAATTTGTACAATTAGCTATTTTATTTTTGAGATATTTAAATTATCGTAATTGGTAGAACTGTTTATAATAAATTTTGAAATTAAATGAATTATAGTATACTCAAAAATGGAAGAAATGGTTGTAAATTATATAAATGTAAGTGGTTAATAATGATGTTTCACAGCCTTTAATACAAATCTTTTAAAAATGCAATAATCAGAATTTATTTGAATTCAAGATAATTATACTACAGTGTTGAAAAAAAAAATTAACACTTTTTGTTTTGAAGAATAATTTTAGCATAATTTTACATTCCAGTTTACAAAGGTATTAATTATAAGCCATTAATATTGTAATACTGAACGAAATATGATTATGTATTCTTATTAAGAAACATTTAGAAAAGATTCCATAATCGTTTCCTTTATTAAAATATTTTTTTTCTTATATCTTTCAGCGAATCTCTTTAATTAGCAGTTTTTTGGCTTCCTTATTCTTGGGCGACTTTGCGCCTATTGATTGGTCCGATGGATCTGGAATGAACTTGTTAAATATTCATACGAAAGACTGGGATGACGTATTACTGGAGGTAATATATCATTGATAATATATCATTGACTAGTAATTAATCATGTACTATTTCATATACTATTTTACTATTATTGATTATTATTAATTTATGACGTATATAGACCATTTAGAATTATTTTCATTTTAAGATGTACAACTCTTTCTAATTTTCATTTTCTAAATTTGCAATTTTTATAAAATATTTAATCACATAATTTAATTATTAATTTTATTGATTATATCAACAAAAGTAAGGATGACTTCCTAAAATACTTATTGAATCTTTCTAAGTTTCTTTACTCATCCCTTTTTTTATTTTGAAATATGATTTTAATTTTCAGAAGGTTCAAGTAAATTGGACCTATGTTTTAAAATTAATAAGATCCCTATCTAAATAATTTATTTAATATCTATGATTGAATTGCTATTTGCTCAGGCTTGCGCTTCAGGTTTGAGAGAAAAACTAGGTAAACCTGTTTTCTCGTGCACCGATATCGGCCCAATTTCATCCTATTTCGTAGAAAGATTCGGCTTCGACGAGGCATGCAGGATAATTGCGTTCACGGGCGACAATTCTGGTTCTCTAATAGGTAAGTAACACTCTCGTTAATTCTACGGTTTCGGTATCAACATTCTCTTCGAAGCCACAGTATTAATTTATACGCACTATTTCGCCTTCTGACGACAACTTTTGATTCTGTCCGTTCGATCTCTCATGAATATTCATGTAAATACGGTTTCCAATTTGCCCTGTGCACGGACTTTCGCTCCCATGACGAATGATTAATGAGATTTTTCATTTAAACTATGATTTGCGATAAGTTAAAAATTAATTTGGTTACATTTTATCCTTTTTTGACTAAGACTTTTGGCGTAGTTTGGTTGCGGCCAGGGCGAGTCTAGCTTCCCTCAAAAATGTGGATCGACCCCCTCATCATTCTAAAATTCTAAAATTCTAAAATTCTAAAATTCCAAAGTTCTAAATTTCTAAAATTCTGAAATTCTATTTCGTCTAATTATTATACTATTTATCAAATACTAATTTATGTAATGATCTATATATCCATAAATACATTAAAAATAAAAATATTTTACAGAAATCTTCGAGTCCATAATATAGCAACATCATCGAAAATGAATCTTTCGTGAATCTTCCACATTAGAACATAAAAATGCTAATTACCAATGAACCGGTTTCTCTCACGCTAACGTCGCCTACTAGTATAAAGTATTTTAACAAATTGTAACAAGTTTAATGGTATATAAAATATGTCGTAACTCAATTTGAACAAGATTACACTTCAAAACATATTAACATATCTCATATAAGATTTGTCACAAATCATGTTGCTATTTAATTGATATACTTCAATTGTAGTAAAATGTTAATTTATTGATGTACAGGGATGAGATTGAAAGAAGGAGATATCGCTTGCAGTTTAGGAACGAGCGATACTCTGTTTTTATGGTTGAACAAACCAAAAACTGTCTTGGAAGGACACATATTTTCTAATCCACTTAATGAAGACGCTTACATGGCATTACTTTGGTAAGTATACTCTATTTGAAGTATTATCAACTTCTTTTTACTGAAATTTTGTCATTCAACCATTTGTTTTTCTCATCACCCTTAATAAAGAAATATTTTCCATTATTTAATGAAGCTCTCAAACATTCTATTAATAGTCTTTCTTTAATAATATTTCTAAGGACCATAAAATTGCAATAATAATTTAGTAATAACGATGCACTGATTATAAATTTTCAGCTTTAAAAATGGATCTCTAACTCGCGAAAGAATACGAGACACCGCAGCACAGGGATCTTGGCAGATCTTTAACGAATTATTAGAAAGCACACCACGGGGTAATTTCGGAAATCTAGCCTTGTACTTCGATGCACAAGAAATTTTGCCGTTTGTCATTGGTGATCACAGATTTAATAAAGCGAATGATGAGATTTCTCGGTATAGTTCAAAAGAGGTTGAAGTGAGAGCTTTAATCGAGGGTCAATTTGTCGCGAAAAGAGCTCATGCTGAGGACTTTGGTTTCGTTATTGGTAAGAAGAAACTTTTGTAATATCTATGAAACAGTCAAGAATTAGCACATCTATTTTTATTTATATATATTATTTATATTGTTCACAGGGCCTAATACACGCGTTATTGCAACAGGGGGTGCATCTACAAACAAAGCCATACTGCAAGTGCTTTCTGATGTTTTTAATTCTCCAGTTTATATATCGGTAATAATTTGTATCATTTATTCTTTAAATGAAACATAATTTATATTCCATTTATTAACTTGAACCTTGCCTTATTTTTTATAATTTTAATCGTGTGTAGGGATCATTGATTCATACCCATAAAATTGTAATACAAATTTTTCAATTGATTTCTTCCATAAAGATTATGTAGTTACTTTTAGGGTTACTTCCACCCCCTAACAAAATTTTTCCATAGGAAGAAAAAAAATACCTATTGTTTATTTTTCTGGTCTACTATAATATATTACAATAATTATTCAAATCAATACCGAACATTTAAATATACCTTCCTTGTTAATAATGACTTTTAGGCTTTTCCTTTTTTAAGATTTTTCGCAATCTATGCTTATTTGTGTTCGATAGGAATTTGTTTAATTCTTTGTATTTAACAGGAAATAGCCAATTCAGCTATGATGGGCGCAGCCTATCAAGCAAAACACGGTTTGTTACGAAACGAATGCAACTTTGACGAAATAACGCGTTGCTTGCCAGAACCAAAGCTAGTGTGCCATCCTTTCGATGACGCGGAATCAGTAAGTTTTATAACATAAAAATCTGTGTTCATTTTCTTAAACAAAAGAATTCTTCTAAACAATATATCTTTATATTTTTAGATATATAAATTAATGGTTGCACGGTATCGGAAAATAATAGAACAAATTAAAAAGAAAACAAATACAAAATGAAGTACGTAAATAGGTAATATATACCGCAGTTCACCAGAGTCCATAACTGCGACGCGCAGGTTGGAAGATGGTGGGGGAACGCAGCAAGCTCTCTGCTAATCGCTTTCCACTTCGTTTGGGAGTATCGCCAATCAGGGCGAAGATGCGCACTGGAGAAGCGCGAAGAACGAAAACTGGTCTTTTCGCAGTTATGGACTCTGATGAACTGCGGTATACATGTTAAGATGAAAGCATTTAAAACAGAGGCCTTTCCAATGCATAATATTAATTAAAAAAGGGAATAGGAATTCTTGCATTTAATGCATTTCATAATTCGATGATATTTTTAGAATTTTGTACAACTTTTAGAAGCTTTTATATACTAAAATTTTAATTTTAATTAATTAATGCAGGAGCTTAGAGATACTCGCGTAGAACATTATTTAGTTCTCTTTAAAAGAACAGATTTTTAAGGTTCATTGCAATGAAAGTAGATTTTTATCGCTGAAAAAAGATATAACACTAAGGGTTCAACTGCATCATTTTACAACTGCTGTTTTATTAGATAAGTCTAGTTAACTATAAATCGCTAATGCCTTACTGATTAAAGTACAAGGTAACCTAAGTGCAATTTTTAAAATGATAACTGAGCTTATAAATTAAAATGTAATTTTGTATTTGTATATTTATAAATTTTATTATATTATACATTATTAATTTATTAAATGCTAACTTATTACAATTACGAATAATAAAAGATGACATTTCATTTAATTCAAGGTGTGTTTTATTAACCTCAAAAAATTGTAACACTGATTGTGGATCGTTGGTAACATATCTATTTAATTTTTCAGAATAAAGAAAATTGATTTCTTCGTACAGGTTATGTAAAATGTTTAAAATACATTTAATTATACATTTATCCATTTTACTTTTTCCTACCACCTCTTTCCTTTGGAAATAGATTGATTACGTTACCGGATGTTAAGTTATAATATGCAAGGGTATTATTATCTTTGAAGAACATCCCCTAAAACACACGTAGCAAACTTGTTAATATTAAATGTACAATTATAATTAAAAAATATATAATTTATATCTTACCTCGTATTGCAATTTTTGTTTACCAGGAGGCATACCAGTTTGTTCATGAATAAGGGCTTTCATTGTTGATACAGTATCACTTAATTGCAAGGTGATATTCAATGTCTGACCGTTCAATTTCCATTCTGCCTTCTCCGTCATCATTGGCACGGCTATACTCAACTGAACAGGACCCTAAAAAAGTAAACAGCAATTTGTTAATAGACAAGAATCTTAAAATTGTGATATACAACATACCTTATTTCTAGCTAAGAACTGTTGTTCAGGTATTAACGAATCTTCGGTTCTTAATTTCTTAGCTTGAGGTTCTTCTTCCATGGGTTCATTAGGATGTTTCATTCCCATCTGAAAAAGAAATAAAATAGATATTAATTAAAGAGCTACTTTTAATTAATCAAACTATACTTACAGCAGATCCCATTGGTGGTTGCATAGGCGGTGGTGTTGGCATAAACGGCGACATTGCCGGTGCTAAAAAATCAAACAGAAATATCAATACCAATAAAATAAAAGGTAAGAGAAAAACTATTATAGCCTACTCATAAGCGGCGGTGGCCGAATTGGTGGCATAGGAGCCATCATCATCATAGGTGCTTGCGGCATCATTGGCTGTGGAATACCCATAGTAGGCATACTCATGGTCGGCGGTGGCGGTGGTTGCGTTGGAACCGGTACTGGTTTTGGCGCCGGTGGTTTAGGTGGTGCTTTCAAAGTAGCCTGAGGTTTCGAAGCAGCCGCAGCCATGTGCGATAGTTCAGCTGCACGATTGGCGGGTTTCGGTCCGATCTTTTCTTTCTCTTCATCCGGAAGAAGTCCCTTGACTTTGTGTATCTGGTGAATCTGTTCTTCCAGAGTAATGTTTGCTCTTGCAGCTCTGGTTGCTGCTTCCACACTCGACGTATGTCCGTCCCACGTGACTTTATCATCTTTCTTCTTATCTTCTTCCCCGATCTTTTTACCAATAGCGGTTTCCTCATCACCGACGCCAAAAATATCGGTACGCCTTTCGGCAAGCTGTTTCAAACTGGCTTCGATGGCTGTACCAGGGGCAAATACTGTTTCCTGAGCCAGTTTATCCAGATGCTTGTCTCTCTGTTCAACCCATCGTGGATCCAATAAACCAATTCGCATGTGCTCTTGCACCTTACTCGCTGGTATACGTTCTCCAGTAATTGGAGATATCAGATATTCATCAGGTGGTACAGGACGAACAATTTTGTTACCATGTTGCTTAGGATCATATCCTTTCTTCACGACAACGTTTCCTGGCGTAGGAGGTAATGGCGGTGGCTGCATATTATTATCGCGTGGTTTAGATTCTTTAGCCTTATGGGTATCACCCGGTGGTGATACATCATCTTCGTCGCTCGAATCCTCTTCCATGTCTTGTACTTGATTGTTATCCTTTGCACGGTCTTTTTCTCCTTCCGTTCGGTTCTGCATTTCATCTTCCCCTTCGCTGTCTATTTGCATCTCTACATCTTCACCTTCTTCTATTCTCTCCTGCATTAGTACTCGAGCACCAACTTCGTCGGGTGTTGTTGGTGCTGGGAAATTACCAACTTCGAATTGTTGGTAATCGACGGTTTCGACCACAACAAAATCGTGCCAGTCAATTTGTGCGTAAGCAACTCTTTCGCGTTCTAGCTCTTCCTCCTCTTTGCGCCTTTGAGCTTCTTGGTACTTTAACCATTCAGCGCGATACTTGACTTGCTCTAAAATTTTATCCATGTTAAAGGCTTCATCACGAAGTCGTGGTAGTAGGTCTTTGGGAGGAATTAATACCTTAGTGTATTGTTCTAAAAGCTTCGTGAAGTATTGAAACAAAGAGTGCTGAGGACGTAAGAAATCAAACTGAAAATTTCTTTGTTCTCTGTTCATCAAGTTAGTTAAAAATTGCCGACCATTACGAGCTACAAACTGAGCTGTTAACTTTACAATATCCAAATCCAAAGCTGAAATAGAAGGAGGATCAGCAATAAATTCAAATTCAGCAGGTGGATCTTTTGGAACAAACGGTTGCTCCACTTGTTTTAAAATTTCTTGCTGTTTTTGGTGAGCTGCAAGATTAACTGCTTTTCCTGGTCCTAATCCTATTGCTGGTTCCTGACCCTTTCCTTCTTTAAATTCTTTTACTTTATGCTGGTAGTACGCATGATATGGATCACCAAAATTTAAGAAATTAAACTTTGGATTACCCAGTTCATTTTGTCTAATCCTTGATTCAAATTCTGGTCCATTTCTAGCCACAAAACTGGCTGTTTTGTCAACAATGTTTCTAACCTCCGGTGGAGGGTAAATAATGCCCACAATCGGCTGAGAAGAAGGTGCATTATTTTCTTCGGTTTCGGTTGCAGGCGGTTGTAAAACCGCAACTTCTTGTGCAGGCATACTGCTTAATATTACTTTAATCACTTAATATTATATTAATGTTAATATTCCTTGTAATTCATTGTAAACTAAATTCTATTTCATAAACGTAACACAAACGCCAATTCACATTGCTTCCCACTGTGCAGCAGATGTATGTAGCTAAACGCTACATTTCCAATAAAGTTGTAAAGCAGTGCATCCAACATAAAAAGAAATTATAAACATCTAGCAGATTTAGCACTATGGCTGATACTGCACAATATCAAAGAGTAAGTGAATTCGACGACTTCAAAGGTGCCGCCTCTTGTTATACCTCCTCTTTGACTATATTTCAAACGTCCCAATAAAATATACATTATTAAATAAATAATACATACATTATGAAGCTTTTAATATGTACAAAGAAAATGTGAACATAAAGTAGATTATAATTCCTTATTTATAAATACTATAATAATTTACATGATTACATGATTTTGACTCAAAATGTATATATAAAACAATTCTAACAATATTATGTATAATTTTTCATCAGACTAATTTAGTTCTTTGATATACTGTTCTGCATGTTTATATAAACCCATAGTACCATTCACAGTATGAGTAGGTAAATTAGCTATGAATTCCATAGTAGTCATAACTCCTTTGTTCCAAGATTTTTTTGCACAACTTGTAAGAGTTGTAACACTGGGCAATTTAGCATACTAAAATCAATTTATTAGAATCAATATAATAAGATCATTTATAAATTTCTTATAACTAATTTTTATTTAGTAATGTAACTCAATTTTATGTATTAAAACAAAAAAGATGTCAAATAAATTTAATATTACCTTTTCTGTTACCTCTTTAGGTACATTTTGGTTAACGTAAGGAGCGACATTAACATATAATTTTTCATATAATTTAGCAGTTTCTTCTGGTTTTGACCATAAACCCTCTTCGTATGTGATATATACGATACTTCCCACAATACTGGTTTTTACAGCAAACCTAGGATCATAACCTTAAACTTAAACTTTAAATTCATTATAAATATAACATAGCATGCAAATACCGTAACAATACTGAGTCCTTAGATTTTAATGCACGTACTGACCGAATGATACCCATTACAAAAATGTAAATTATTGGAATATGTATGACAGTTTCTGTCACTCCTTCGTTTGTTATACAAAAATCTGAAAATTATGTAAGGTGTTCAGATGTTTCCGGTTTCCGGTTTAATTCAACTTATCAGATGTGTATGGAACATATGTATGTATATACATGTACCGCAGTTTACCAGAGTCCATAATTGCGACGCGCAGGTTGGAAGATGGTGGGGGAACGCAGCGAGCTCTCTGCTAATCGCTTTCCACTTCGCTTGAGAGTATCGCCAATCAGGGCGAAGATGCGTACTGGAGATGCGCAAAGAACGAAAACTAGTCTTTTTAGTTATGGACAGTTATGGACAGTCATGGCAATTATGGACTTTGGTGAAGTGCGGTATATATACAATTGCGAATACACTAGTGCATTCTTATATTTACATCTTGCAAGGCAAAATAAATACGTAGAATATTTTTAATGTAACATAAAGCACTTTACATTGTATTTTCAGTTATCAATTTATAATGCAACAAATCAATAAAGGTCGCAAAAGGGTCTCTGACACCCCACGATGATATCAATAGAGCAGATGGCGTTCGTTCTCAAGGCAGAAATTCAAAACTGCTTGAAAACGCATGTCTAGTCTTGTTGGATCTGTAGTCACTGCTTCAAATTATGACTACCTAATGATAAACCCAATTTAATAGAATCATTTATTTTGGTTTTGGTAGTTTATACTTGTATTTAGAATGAAGGTTTATAACTACATATTTTGTTGTGTCCATTTTTTAGTAATAAGTAATTGATAGTTTTCATTGTAACCACAAACATTTTGGTATGTAAACATTTTTGTATATTATATATATAATGTGGCCTCAAGAGTATATTGAATTGAAGGTAATAATTTAACATTGTACATACATACTTTAATCGTAATGTACATAAGAAATACATTGATTAACTTTTTTTATAGCACATAGATAATTTATTAGTCTGTGGAATATGCTATGAGTACATGGATACTTCTGTTATAACAGCATGTTCCCATAATTGTAAGGACAAAATTGTATTCTACTCATGTACTTTAACATGAACATAACAGTTTTTATCTGATTATTGTCTTTTTAATATTTCAGATTGCTCCTTGTGCATTAGAAAGTATTTACATTATAAAACTCAATGCCCAGCATGTTTCACAGAAACATTTGAAAAGGATTTAAGAAAAAATAAAGTGCTGGATGAAATTATTGCACAATTTGTAAAAGTCAAAGACAAATTAAAGATATGTGTACGAAGTCAGGTAATGTTTAAACACAATAATGAAGTTGAAGAAAATGTTTTGAATACACCAAAATTAATGCGTCAATATAAAGATGTAAATATAAATAGTCAAGAGAGGAACATTCTTAATAATAGTCTTAAATCTATAAATAATACATCACCTTCTATAAGTATACAAAAAGATACATGTGGTCCTAGTACCAGTGGTAAACCTAGAATACCTTTAATGTTTACACCTAAAAGTTATAAAAGTTCAAGTGTAACAAATATGGAAGAGACCAAAGTTGTTATATGTCCAGTGTGTAAAGTCAGTATTTCAGAAGTAAAGATAAACAGACATCTTGATGATTGTCTGAAAAGAGAAGCAGTTAAAGGAAAACCACAGATGTAAGATTATTAAGAGTTAAATCATTTTTCAATTATCCCTTACTTTTGGGCTTTAATATTCCTATGTATAAGTTAATAAGTAATTACTAGTAGTTTATTAGTAATTAATGTTAATTTTTATAGAGAGGAACCTAAGCGAGAACCGCTACCAAAGTTAGTATTTAGTCTGATGAAAGATGCATTGTTAAGAAAAAAATTAAAAGAATTTGGTTTATCATCACACGGAGACAGAAAAACTATGGAAGCTAGATTGCAAAGATATATTGTCCTCTATAATGCAGAATGTGATAAACCAAATCCAAGATCAGTCTTAGAATTAGTTAAACAATGTGATGATGAAGAGAATCTAGAGAAAAAAATTAATAAAACCTCATTGTTTCTAAATGTAAATATTTGTAGTTTAATTTTTATTTAAAATGAAAATTATTTCAAATTTTGTAAGTTCACATCCTTTATTATTGACTATTTCAGAAATTACAAATTAACCGAAATACAGAACAAAATATTATAGAGGGTGAAAGAAAAAAGTATTGTGAGTTTCTTAACTGTTTCATTCTTTTTAATGTGATATATTAATGCATGCTATTTTAATTATACCTCTTTCATTAGTGGAAGCGCATAAAAATAGTTTCGAAAATTTAATAAAAAAAATTAAGGATACTGAGCCTCCAAAGAAATCGTCTGCAAGACGAAGTTTGTTGCGTGAATATGTGGATGACAATAAAGACATTCCACAGGAAACAGAAGCTGAAGATTTGGATGATTCAATGATTAATATCGCACAAAATGATCTTCAGTCTCTAAATTCTGTTGGATACATTCAAGATTCTGACTCGGATACTTCTTGTCCACTACAAATGTATTCGAATTCTGATCCAAGGAAATTTCTTAATGTTGAGTTCCCTTCTGCCAGTGATAATAACAATGATTCACAAAATCAATCTGAGTTAAACTCTGATGAGTACATTGTCAAAAACGAATCTAATGTTTCACCTATGAAAACTAGTTCTCTTTCGGAAGTATTTAGCGATAATTCAATGCCTAATGAAGAGATGCATTCAACAATGGAAACCTCATTTTCCAAACTTATGTCAAAGACTGATTCTAAGAATTCTCCTAATGCTTCACCTTATAAAAAGTTACTACAAAGGAAAGGAAAATCTGTGAATCATCAAATGAATCAAGCACATTCTGTCATTTCTAAAGATGAAATAGAAAATGATAAATCATCGCTCAATGTACAGGATTTATCAAGCAATGATAGCACTGATAGTAAATTTAATTATGGTAAGTAATTTTATTTTATCATAAGTTATTAGTAAAAATTTATTTTCAAGAATACAATTATAGTAAAATCATAAGAGCTTAATTATATTTTTTAAATAATAGAATTGTTTAAATTAATTTACAGGGAGGAGGCGTATTATTCGTGGACTAGCAAATAACAGTGCAGCTAATTTGTTAAATTTAGAAAAACAGAATGCTAGTATGCTTCCTGAATGTGGCGGAAGATGTTTGCGTTCGAAAAGAAATTGCGATACATTGCAAACTGACAATCAAATTGTCTCAAATAAAAAGAAAAGGGCTAAAAAGTCATGTAACAAGGAGAGATCTATCAGTGCAGCGCGAGATCTATAAATAAACAATTAAAATCAAAGATATATTGACTTCTATTTTGCTTATTTTTCAGTAATTAATTTATTTGCGTGTTAAATAATTATAAATGATAAATTTTTGTATAATTGAACTGATTACTTTCATGATCTTTAAATTTGCATTCTATATAAAAATGCACGCACTACGTAGTTTGTACAGTAGTAAAAGAAATCTTTTTTAATACAACTAATATATCAATAAATATAGTGGAAGAAAATCGAATCTTTATATATCAAAGACACTGAATTTTATTGAATACATTATAGTGTTTTAATCAGCAAAAGATCAACAACAGTAAATAATGATAAACACGTATACTTCTACATCTCACCTTTGTATAGATATTAACAATAATATAAGAAGCTTTACTTAACATTAAAATAGCTGTATTTGACATTGTTTACGCATAAAATATTTGTCTTTGTTATATATTTTATTACTCGCATACTTTGGTATCATTTATACATTTAATTTTATTTACATTTTATGTATATGATATATTATTTAGTAGAACTTTGAAAGCTTCTAACGTTCTAATGGAACAACTATCACATTTATGAAACACTGTATTTTCAGTTTTTCTTTTTCAATCTTATAATAATGATTTATTATATTGTTTTTTATATCCGTTTTTTATATTGTTATTATATGTTCTCTCTTTTGAATAAATACAAGCGCAACGATCTCAAAGGAATGAAATATTTTACAGCTGTTAGTTGCGCTATTTTATATTTCTTTAACATTAATAAATGTTCTTTATAATCGGCAATGTTTCTAAAACTATTTTCTGCGAAACCTGGCGATTCGAACACTTTTGAACATTAGTTTTCTTTACATTTTTTCGGTGAACAGTACATGTGTAAAAGGTTACTTATAAAACATAATTTGGTGGATGTAATTCTTTGAGAAGATTTTCAATTTTTGCTTTCAGAGTTAAGGGTTACGCATAAAATGTTCTAAAACCACTACTTTATGGTATGGCATTACGCGAGGCAGTTACTCAACGTTTACTACACTCCTAAACATTCTACAAGCAGGTTCAATTTCTCCTGTGTAGAAGAACTTATGATACACTTTGAGAGATAGAAAATATAGAAATTGTATTTTGTAACATTTCTAACATTTGCAACCTTTTAATTACTTTATGTATATAAATATGAACGAAATCAGATGTGTTCAATGAAATTTTATAAAAATCAATTAGAAAATTTTGTAAATTGACGTTTTGTATGATACGAATATTTGTAAATTTAATTATAAGAAAACAAGTTTTACCGAACGATGGAATAATGTTAATCAATAAATTTATAGAGTTAAACGAACACTGTGTAATATATAATAAGATTTGCATAAAGCCATCCTCTGTATTATTTTAAATTATGAAATTTAACGAAGGACTTGCATAGAATTTTTATTTTAAATAGTAACTTCTATTACACGACACGATTAACGATTGTATCTTATATAATTTCTCTTTACCATTGATTTATCAATAAGTATGAACAGAGTTGTTTCTCTAAGAAACATTGATTAATAGCGTTATAGTAATCCATAGTTCGTATATAGACTATTATATTTCCTTTCAAATAACACATCAACTTGATTTCTACTAAATAATATATACAAGAATCCTGTTATTCTGTACATGTTTTATTTGAAAGAAAGTATGATTTTTGCGAACATATTCTATTTATGATTGTAAGCATCTTTGCCTTTTACATTCAGTATAGAACACGTTTAGGTATAATTCGCAACGATATGTTCAAATTACGTCTTATTAATTTTTAACTTTATGGACGTAATGATTAATGAAAATTATTCTAAAATTATTTACAATAGGCTTGATGGTTTAATGTCGCATATTTTGATTAATCCTTTGATTATCGAGTTTGATTCATCCTTTCTTTTTTTATTGCGCCTAAAATGGATTACTCTTGTTTGAATTCGCTGAATTAATTAATTTTTTAGATGTTTATTCTCCTAGAATATCTTTCACGATGAATCACATTGTAACACTTTCTTTAGATTCAAGAAGTGTTTAATTACATTTAGACAAATTCGTGGGGCTGTTTAATTGAAAGTATAACTACCACACTAAATTAAATTTCAACATGATTTTCGAATTTTTATCTATGTAAAATATTTAAAAATCTACAGTTGGAGTCTTCTCAAGAACACTGTTATAATAGAGTTGGCCATTATTCAAATAACCCTTTGAATACAAATTTTGAATAAAACAAAGAAATTTGGGAATAAAAAATCTTCATTTTATTTAAAATTTGTGTTTATAAATTATTCGAATAATACTCGATTCCAAACACAGTAACCATAAATGTAAAATTTCATCTAATTGTCTTAGATCATAATAAAATTGAATTTTCATAAACTTTTATTTTATCTAATGGAATATTTTAAATAGTTTAACATACCGAAACAACAACGCATAGATTTTCTTGAGATTAAGAGGGAAAGTTTAGAAAAATATTATCCAGCATTCCAACTGATTCACCATTCGTTTAAATTCTCTAACGAATTTCATAAAAATACAAGCTCTTTCTATATTTTCATGTTCATCGAATAAATATATACAGTAAAGTCATATGTTCAATTTTTCCATTTTTTAAAGCAGTCTTTGAATGGACTTCAGGAGGAATCGCTTTAAAGAATAAACCACACTGGACATTTTATTATCATCTTGTCTACTTTAATAGTATGCTTTCTGCAATACTCAACAATTACATTCAATCGCTACTATTTAAAATCTTAATTAATTATTTTAATCAGTGCATCTCACCTTCTGATGCGAATAGTAGCGAAGCATTTTTTACAATTAATTAAACCACCACAGCGCGTTTAAGGCTTCGATTTTCATAAATATTTACAAATCTATTCACAGTTAAGTTAATATACATATATGTGTATTGCACTCGATCGATACGTTCGTTTATATTTTTATTCGTAAAGAATTAAGTTATAAACGAATTGCAAGGAATTGATCTTCATTACGAAACGAAAAACATGTGGTTGTGATGAACTAGAGAGTTTCTTTTCTTTCTCTCCTTTTTTTAAATAGACTCTTCAATTATACACCTGACTAGCGTCACGTTACATTTTCTCGTTTGTTTCGTCTCATCACCGTGATACCTATGGAACCTCTTATTTTACGCAATAGATCTATTATATCAGCCGTTGACATGTGCTCAACACTCTCATCGTTTACCTGAAATAGAATAAGACACAATAAATAATGCACTAGGTGACACAATGTCCTTTCAAGAGTTTGACATAGTAGAAATAGCCATTTGGAGCATGGTACCTGATGATATAAATATTTATCATCTTATTATTTATTTCATTGATAACCAGACAAATATTTTTATACATTTTGTTTTTTTTCCTAAACATATTTAAATTTAGAAAAATTTAAGTATTAAAATAAATATAGAGATATTTTAAAGTGATACTACCATCATAAGTACATCCCCTTGTTTGAGCCTTCCATCTTTGGCTGCAACGCTGTCCGGATGTACCACGGATATGACAGTACGATTTCCTTCCGGTTGTAAGCTAAATCCTAATCGGCTATTCCATCCACGTGTCAGCTCTACCATGAACACCTTTAAAAATAATAATTGCTACATTAATTAAAAATTATATTCGTTCCAAAATGATCTGATTATGCTCCTCAATTTTAATAAGTGCACTTAGAAATAATTGATTTTCAAATTCAAGCTTTCAATTTTTTATGTTATATAATTATTATAATAGTAATGTTCACCTCGGTTCCTTGTTCAAGATCTGTATTGGGGACAGCTGAATCAGTGGTGTCTTTCCCGACTTTCTCGTCTTTGTTTTTTGTTTTATCTATTCCATCATCTGGAGCAAACATCACGCCTTTCCACTTCAATAAACCTTTGCTGCCACCGGGATCCTCTGCTCCCAAGATTTTTCCTATAAAATTAAAGAAAAATTATGATAAATTATTCAAACTTGTAACGATATGTATTCTGAAATTCGGTATTTTTCATTTTCATTCAAATATATTCATAGTCTATGTATACCTATTATTATAATGACAATCAGTCAATAAACTTAGTATTAAATACTTAATGAATTTTTACTTTATCACCTTCTGTCAGTGAAAACTTAATTGAAATATTGGAAAATGTATTGAAAAACTTTCACGTTAGAAACGTTAGAAACTTTTGTCACGATAATCAAAACATTTGACAATAAAATAGAAAAAGAATTTAGTACACTTCAATATGGTCTATGGAGTGTTTAACAATTACGAAGTGAACTGTTCGCAAAAAAGTAACACAACCGAGTTGTACCGGATAATCAAGGTGGCTTTGTGTAGTAGTAACAAGATATTGCACGCTTATGTGTTAATACCAGATAAGATAATACCGTTCATTTTACACCGGTGATGTATTAGTTGACTCCAATTTTCTTCTTCTTCATCGAACAATAAAAATTATATTTTTATATTCTTTGGATACAGCTTATCAAACGGCGAATATCATATAATAATTTTATCACATTCAATTTATCAAGATTAATCATCAAATCCACGTGGGAATTACTGTGAGAATGGCAAAAGACTTCTGATTGTATTTAGCAAGGAGAATTTATCATTTTTTAAACAATATATATATAATCGCTACAAACATAATGGCCATATAATACTGACTCTTGGAAATCAAATATTAAATTAAAAAAAAAAAACTTTTCACAAATTTCCAAAAACCCAACCTGGTATATCCTGATCACTCGAATGGGTAGCCTTATTCTTCGCCGTGGTATCGATGCCCGCACCGCAGGCTGGATTAGCGCTTTGATAAGCAGGATTCTTGTAACTGAACGCGGTTGCACTCGAGCTACTCGCGGAGGAGAGTACCGGTGGCATGGAGGCTGGTTCCGAGGGTAGATCGTTGTCATGCTCATCGCTGGACAACGCGTTTATAGTCCTTCTCTGGTAATCGAGCGTCGTACCGTTGTTCACTTCGTCCTCGCCGATAATCGGCTCGCCTCCGGGGTACTCGAGATCCGAGTCCAGGCTGCAGAACTGAAAATGAGGCTTTCCCTGGGGTGCCGATAAGTCGAGGAAACTCGGTCGGGCCGGTGCCTTCGAGGAATCACTGGAATCGCAAACGTCGTACAACGGCGGCGGATCGATTATGTCTGTTCCAGGTGTGTTCGGTTGGGAATTCGTTATCTGCGTTCTGATCGAACACTGGTCGGAATCGGATGTCTCTGCTTGGCTGGCCGTCGATGTCGTTTGCACGCCTGAATGCTTCTCCAGAGTTTCTGCAAGGATGGACATTTTAAGTCATGTTTCTCCATTTTTTATTTTTGGTAGAGGAGGGTTGTTGGATCTACTCTGTGGTGTTTTGTAATGGGCTTGTTTTGTTTTATTTAAATTGTTGGTAATGGACAGTTTTACAAGAGGTGCTTCTGATGTGGTCCTTAATGACTTTAATGAAATTTGCTGGATGAAAGGCCAAGAAGGAACTCATCTCAGTCGGCTGGAATCTCATCATTTAGCTCTATATAAAATTTGGAAAAATTCATAGTAGGGTATATAGGGTATATACGCCATGAAACGCTTTTTATTCAAATATCCAAGGCGTAGTGGCAATTATAGATCTTTCATTTTTTGTTTAATTACATAAACTAATCAATACTTCTCTAATCATAGAAAAGATTCTTTAAAACCAAGACAAAAAATGTACAATTTATGCTTAAATAAAGAAAAATTTTTATAGGCATTCCCAAATACCACAACATTATATCTTAATTTACTTCTAAATTAATTTTTAAATTAATGCAAGGGTATCATTAATTATTAGTAGAATTTACAAAAGTAAATATGGATCGACAAATACTTGGAATACACTTGAAAATTTTATTTGCAATATTGGTAAGTGTTCCCCTAAGTGATCTCCATAGTCTTCAATTGATCGAAGTACTCCTCCATCGACACAAAAGTGAAATTACCCCAATTCAATCTACTTGTTCCTACTATGTACAACAATTTAGCTTTAACGTTATGCGATGTAATGATACCTTGTTCATTATCAGCATTAGCCGTACGCGTGGCAAGTCGACGAAGCCTTCTTGGAGAATTGCAGGATGCTCCAGGTGATTGCTTGCAACTGGAACCACTCGATGTACCTGGTGATAGTTTTCGAACTGCTAGATCGCAGAGCATGTCTACGGCTTCTTGTCTGTAACAATATTATCAAACATCATTTTAGAAGCAGGCATAAAATAAAGTACCTTGATATTGCACCGTGTTGCAAATATGTTGCAAAAAGAAAAATCAATAAACTGTATATTGTATTAAATTATCAACAAAATTATAAGAAGCACAAAGTTAAGAAAAATCAAGTCAAAATTAAATTTGAAAAGATAAATTTGCATAAGAGAAAAATGCAGTTCCATTTGTAAAAGTGCATTTGCATCTTTCAGCTGCATCGTTGCACTTGTGGAAAAGGTGAAGTAATAAACAGGGAAATAGACCTTCAAAATGAAGTCATAAATAGCAAAATAGACCTTCAAAATGAAGTCGTAAATGAGAAAAATGGATCATCCTGTACCATCCAATATTTTCTCAAAATATAACCACTTCAGTTGAATAGCTCTCCCTTCTCTTCTTTTTTTTTTTAGTAAACCGGTTAAGTAAATCAAAAGAATGTAAGTGAAATTTTAGACAGAAGAGAAGCAGTCGTCATTTTTAAAAAGAAGAGTATTCCTTTTCAAAATTAATCATAAAAGGAAAGATTTTACGGTTCTTCGATTACAAGAAGCGTGCAGTTGAATTAGGGAAAGTCCAGGTCCTCGGTGGATACGAAATGCGGCTTAATCAGAGGAAAAGGGGCTTAAAATTAAAGGAAAAGTTTACCTCAAACTGGTCCGCGGTGGACGGAGTGGATGATCGGGTTCGGTCGGAGAAAGCGCAGAGACAGGAGTTTGCGCCAGATCTCTGTAAAGTCGTAGCCTCACGGTGGGTCCGCATTGTCGCAATAATTGGACAGCCTCTTCGTGGCTCATTGGCGACAATGGTGCGCCGTCCACAGCGACTATTTTATCGCCGGGTCGAATTCGGCCGTCGCTTAACGCCGGCTCCCGCACTAATTCCCTCACGTAATGACCCAACGCGCTGCTGTCCGCTTTCCTCAGGGTGAAACCCAGGCTACCACCGACCTTCGTCATCTCTATGTCGAATTCCTGCGAGAAATTGCGAAACCGTTCCATATAATTCCCGACATATCGCTCCACCCCTTTCTTTTTTTTTACACTTTAGAAAATGGAAAGGAGGAGCCAGAGCTGTTTTTGAAATAGGTTCAAAGAAGATTTATGAGGGTCATTTCGAGTCATTTTTCTATTTTCATACAGTGAAAAGAGGGCGGCTGTAAAACGCGACATTTTAGAATTTATTGGAACATTGAATTGATTTAAACTTTGAGAAATTATAGTGGATCCGGGAATTGGTAATTTGGCAAAATGTATAGTGGATTTTCAAATGAATAATTCTCCAAGTTTACGAGGGGCTTCGAAATGAATCACTTTATAAAATTGCAGCGAACTTCAGAATTAATAATTTTGTTAAATTATAATACTTTTTCTGAAATATAGCAGAAATTCGCAAATAAATTGTTTTGAATTGAAAATTCAGTATGTCTTGGTGCTAGTTGTGCACCACAAACGCATAAATTCATAAATGCAAGTTTGGAGTAGCTAGCACCTTACAATTAGGTCATAGTAGATTTTGTATTCAATATGATTCAAACAATTAATTACATAGACGTGTATTTGTATTTCATTGATATTGAAGTTATTACTATTGAGGTTTGTTAAAAAATGCAAATTAAAAATAAATTATAAAATAAATTGCTTTGGAACTGAATTATCGTATACTCTGCAGGCCTACAGTGATGCATGTGATGTACAAACACGAGGGATTTGTTATAAATGCATCGGAAACTACGTGTTACGTAGGAAACACTGAAATCTAAATTGTAAACGAACTTCGATCGGCTATTGTACACTCCCGGGGATTTCCTAGATGTAACAGATAGTATATTCATTGATCATTTGCTTTATGAATGTGAATTACACTGCTGGTTTCCCTCGGGGACGACAGGGAATTGAAAACACGTATTTTCTTTTAATATAATCAATGTCACCTTTGATACCATTTTACAGAATGATCTGGTTTTTTTTTCTAATACAGCACGAAGATACTTACATATGTTCTATAAACAAATATAAGATAGAAGATTATTTGTTTCATTTGGAATTATTAGGTGTACAAATTAATTCGGTACCATTAATATTACACTTTCTTAGTTACTATTTTAAATTCGAATATTTTCCCAAAGATATACATAAATAATTTTCGTGCAGAAACGGACGAATGTTAACTTCCATGGCAACAAGAAATTGTACTATAAATTCACCAATAACGATAGTATCGTATCGATAGAGATAGGACCGTATCTTTTGATTAGTGGTCAAAGGGGTGGAAAATGGAGGAATTCGGTGATTCAGTAATAGAAGAAATTCGGCGATCTAGCAGATCGCGACAAGGAACTAGGAAGGATTCTCGATAAGGGTTACTTACGCCGCAGGGTTCGATTTGAAGAGGCGGCAAGGGGTTAAGGATCCGCAAGGGTGGTGGTGGTTCTCTCCTAGCCGGAGGTGGAGGCGGTGCACCCGGTGGTGTGACGTTCGTATCACCAGGAAGTCGACACACCACCAGCTCCACGGTACTCGGTGTCGTTCGTAGAACCTCCAGGGCCTCCTGCAACAAGTTGCATCGATGTAAGATTAAAGTCGAATTTCATTATCTTTGAAGAATTTGAACGTTTTGACGGTCGTTCATTTTATTTTATTCATGGATGCTATAATCTTTTATTCATCTAATAATTTTGTTAAAATGCTTCACATTAAAAAAAATATGTCACAATATATAAAGATATAAATCATTAATTTCAAAATTTAGTTAAACATTAGTAATACCCATGCTACATTCTAATATTTAATTTTCTATTTATATTTTTGCTAAATATTGATTTTACATAATGTAATGTTACAGCATGTAACGCGTTTAAAATAAAAATAATAATTTTATCACTGGATTTTGAAAATGAATAATTTTTATTTTGTTTAAAACAGATTTCAATGTTTATTTAAGAGTCTGCCATCGTTGGAATTGTTTGTTTCTCATATTATAAAATTTAAATATATTTGCAAATTATATGATGCTTATTTTAAAAATAAATTAAACAAACAGTAGCGATATCCAATATACGCTCATTAACTTCGCTACTGAACACAAAATAAATATTCAGTATTTTATTACGAATTTTGCCGAGAAAATCACGAGGCGCGGTATACATTATAAACTGGGTATTATACCTTGATTCTCGAGGGACAAACTGGTAACTTTACACAAGATACTGTCTATCTTGCGCTACGAGTTCCGGATGTAGTTGCATTATGCTAATCAAATGCAAATCTCTAAGAGCTACGAGAAGACAAGCCCGTAGCTTCCATCTTTAGCTATAGTAATCGCTATTTTGTCGCAACCAGTTCATCGCGTTAAGCTTGGTGAGCAGCGATGAAGGAAAACGACTTGTGGCAATGAACGAAGGACAACCTCCTACTAAAAGTTATTTCTAATGATTCATTTCAAATATGGACAATCAAATTGCAACTATTACTTGGTAAATAAATTTTAACTTGAATATGTAACAAATTCATATTTGAATAAATATGAAAAAAAGATGGGGGTGGGGGTTCCATAATTACATGGAACTTCAAATTTTTTATTTAAGCATTTATTATAAATGAGAAGTTCAATGGTAGTTTATTGAAAAATAAAAATAAAATAATTTTGGGAAATAGAAGTTCTTTATCCAAGCTGTTTTGCATTAGTACTTGATAATGGCTAATTTTTATTTCCAAAAAACTATTCACTTCCCATTTACAAATAAATTTATTGCTTAGATAATAAATTTGATATTTCGTATAATTAATATTCAATTAAACTAATCAGAATCCTACATAATTATGGTAACTTGCAGTTTGATTCAATCTCACCTATACTTTAATCTACTCAAAAGTACCATTTCTCTTTGTCAAAGTTCGAAACTATTCAATCAGATTAGAACATGTAACGGATCCTGTCTCTAGAGATGGTGTTACAGTTTAAAGCTTACATAGTTGGTGAGGCCAGTTAAAGGGATTCCATTGGCAGCAAGAAGTATATCGCCAGGTTGAAGTTTGTTGGACAAGGCCGCGGGTTGTTGAGGAAACAGTCTGTTCACCCTAACCGGTCCGGCGGTGCTGCCACCGGAAACGCTTAAGCCAAGTCCCCGGCTGCTCTTCTGTAACGTCACTCGGAACGTGCTCTCTGAAAATCATAAAGAAAGAGTTTAATTTCAAGGAAAGTTCTTGGAAAATCTGCTTCTTTCTATGAAACTTCTGAAGGGAAAATTTGCTTTGAATTAGTTAGATAACGGAAGCGTGATTGCTCTTCCGTGAGGGATGCATCCTCTTGAAAGTTCCTTTATACAACTAAGAAACCATATATTAAGAAATATTGAAGAGAACGGTAATTAAGTTTCAATTAGATTAATTTTATATTAAAGACTTCAAGAAATGGATGATGAATTTTAGTTTTAAGAAAATTCTATTTTATTTAATAATTTTTTTTTGAAGAACATTTCCGAGGAAAAAATTCAGTAGTTTCCATTTTGTTAATATATGTATGGATATAATTTAAACAGGAGACACGTGAGTAAATATACAAAGTTTATTTGAGATCAATGAACAAATGCATATCCCTGAATATCAATATTAAATGTTAAATATTAAATATTAGTTATCCTTAGTATAGTACACATCAGTTTCCAGTACTAAATACTACTATTTATTAATTATAGTATTAAAAAAAAAAAGGAAATACGGTAAATACATAGAAACTGGGACGAAAAATCAGTAGTCAAAAGCGTAATAAATCAGACCCCGCCCAAATTTTGTAAATACTGTACGTATAACAAGAATTCTTGTCAATTTGGTTAATATATCTCTTACAATCATATTTAAAAATATTTATAGTAATATTTCAATAATTATTAACAATTTTTAAACATGTACTAATAATTTATACTTTTAATCTCTCTTAATGAATAATTAAAATTCCTTTCCCTAATTGTTGTAAATAATACCAAAAAAAAGAGAGCAATGGACACATGTCAATTGTAGAACAAACAACCCCATCACTGGACGTACATCACTTTCAGAATAAACGATTCGGTTTCCCTCAACTTCGTTCGTTTATTTTCATCGAACGGATTCGAAAAGCAGCGCGAAAAAGAGACGAATCGTTTGTTTGCACTGCAAAGACAGCATACACGGTTCTGTAAATATTTATAACGTACAGCAAGGGAGACAAAGTTTTTTTATTTTTTATTTTTTGGGGTGCTTATTCCAAAATTGTAGGCTGCTTGTAATTTACGACGCGCAACGGTTCCTCTGATGCATGACCTAATATTTGGGATTGGGCTAGGCGAATAATTACTTTCTGCCTACTGTACTATCCAGTGTCGCCACACCAGCTGTATATTTCTGTTGTTACAGCACTTTCATGGGGCGAAGTGTCACTTCGCTGACTCCATAATTTTTAATTTCGTAGTGTACAGCACTACGAACGCAAGCTTCAGGATTAATCTTTTTAGGATGAAGCACTTCTAAGTTTAAGATTATTTATGTATGGAATATTTTATATTTAAGTTAAATTAATAAGTAATATAGTAATAATTAATAATTATATAGGTATAATTATATAATAATAATAAGTAATAATTCATAAGTAAATTAGAAGTAATAAATCCTTTTTGTTTTGCTTTGAAGCACACATCACAGAATTTTAGTTTAATTACATATGTTTATTAGAATTTCTCTAAATTACAGTTTTTATTCGTAGCAAAATTACAGTAATTAAATCTTTGAAAACCTTCATGTAATGATAACACATGATAACACATTTTTGCTGATATTTTGAAAGTAGACAAATGACTTTATTACACCTTAATGAGAATCGAATGGTTCAGGAGAACCAGAGTTCTAATTCTTGTATTTCACTGGCAGTTAAAAACTCATTAATTTTATTATGACTTTTCAGATATCATTAACATGATTACACGATCAACATTTTACATCTACGTTTAGAAAATTCACCATTTAATGCATATTCATTAACAAATCAAACAAAATGAATTGTTATAATAAAATAAAAAATTTTCTATATTTTGGTCTACTATAAATTATTATCCATGCAAAGATTACATAAACTTCTCATAAACCTCGATCGACGTCCACGGAGAACAAACAAAAGCGATCGCTAAAATTGGCCATTGCTATTGTCTTCTTTTTTATTCTATTTTTTTTACGCCATGGTGAACTCTCAGCCGGGGACGAATTCCAGCTTGAAATGACTCGCCTTTTACCGGATATTGACCCGATCCGGACGACATATCGCGCGTATTGTTCACTTTGTTCTCCATTCAAATCGGTCCCTCTCGATGGGTAATTTACGTTTGTCACGTTATTGTCGGGGATCGCGCAATGTCAATCTTCCGAAAAGAGTCTGCCATTGTTGGATTCGTTCGAAATCATGGATATCCTGAACGAATTCCGCGGATCGTTCGACGAATGTTCAGAAAAGTATAAGAATCGATAGAGACACGATTCACAGCCACTATCTCTGGTTATCGACGGTTAACCGCCTTTAATTAATTGTGTTCTAATAACAGTACGTCGTTACCTAAAAGGCCAATGAATTAGTGAAAATTTGGTCGAGCGGAAAATTCTCGAACGGTGGAAATCTGGGCGCGATGTTGAACCGCATTTGATTCCAGCAAACTATCTCATTTTAATACCACGGATTTTCGTAGTTTCAGAATTTCCTGTGGTACGCTCGTTTTATCACGGGTTAGATTGTTTGGAAGTAATAGAGTGGATGGTTTTGTCGGCATTTGATATACGGATCGTAAAATTTAAGTGTGGAATGCCAGTGTGTGGTGTTTTGGTTGGTAATATTGCAGGTAATATATCTGCATATTTAAATATGAATTTACTTGAGTAACGAAGTAATGGGTATAATTATGGAAATTTATTAAACATTATACAGTAATGAGCGATCATTAACAGTGTCACTGGTAAAATTAACTAAATATCCTCTAAGCATTTCTAAATTTTGGTTTATAAATATTATATTGAAATGTTATAAATAAATTCCAAGGTTAAACAGGAAAGCTTTTATTAACACATTCAGGCCCAGGATAATAGCTGTATGGGCTACAGCTGAAGGTATTAGAAATTGATAAATTTTTTCTTTCAATGTTCAAAATGAAATTCAAGATTCAAAGGTTAAGCAGAAGATCTTTGAGTATTGTAAATAAATTCACTTTGAATGTTAAAAGTAAAATATAAGATTCGAAGCTTAAATATAAAGATCTGTGTTATAAATCATAAATTTTCACTTTGAATGCTAAAGGTACCATTCTAGGTTCAAAGGTTAAACAGAAAAGCTTTGTAGAAGGGAAACATGGATACTTGATCTAAAATTTATGATCCTTGAATCGGTGAATGGTTAATAGCTACGAGTGGACGTATAATTCCATTTTGGTGTGTCTTTTTACGAGAGAAATATCAGTGTATTCACGTTTATGAATCTCATTGTTACCAGGCTCTGTTACTTCGTCGATTAATTAACTTTAATTACGGAATTAATTTAATTGCTTCTCTTGGATCGTTATTTTACGTCTTTGTTCGTTCGGAACTACGAAATTCGAGATGAAAAGGAATTAGCCGTAAGAAAACTCTGTAATTAGAACATTGAACAATTGAGTTTTCTTGAAGCAGTTAAATGTGGTATTGTCTTATTTTATTTTGTTGTCGTATTACCATCTTTTCTTCCAAAATTTTTAAGATGAGGTAAACCTTAAATTTGAAAAATATTTAACCATGATGGTGTCCCGCAAGTAACTTTATAAATAAAATGGACAAATTAATTAAAGAATTAATTAGATTTTTAATACTATTAATTTTTAAATCCTTTTCAGACAATAATTATGTTTTACTATTATTTTCACAATATTTTTAATTAGATAAATTAAAGAATTTCTTACAACATGGACAATGAATTCGAATGAAAATTCAAGCATCAATCCCGTACAAGTAACGTGTTAGTTAACGTGTTAACACTGCGCTTTATACGCTATCCAACGTTAATCTTAGTTACCCTTGATCAAGTAAAACGAGCGCACACGATTTCATACGATTTTCGCGTGATCAGAGAACGTTTACGCGGCCAGTAAACAAGATCAAGAGATCTAATCTCGATTAAATCGAAACGTCTACCAAGCAGAAGTCAGTTTCGACTTATCAAAGCGTGCGGCTAATAACCGAGGCCGCTTTACCGTGTTAAAGCTACACTCATAGTGGATCCATCGCGGATATTACCAACGTCTGAAATCACAGGATGTTCAAACGTAATCGTTTCTCGGGATGCACCGTGGCGAACATCCTCTTTGAGTAATTAGGCAGTAGATTCAAGCAGCAAAACGAATCGGAGATATTTCTCTTTCGTCGTGATTCGAAATGAATTTCTGGTGACCTTCTTTTGCAATAATTGAAAATAAAGTTGAAACTTAAATCGAATTTCAAATCATTTGTTTTATTAATTATTGAAATTCATAATAGTTGAAATGGTGGAGTAATCACTATTTTTTGATTATAATAATTAAAAAGAGTTTTAAAAATGATTCCCTTTCACAATTATTGTTATGAGTTTTAAATGGGTTTGTTTATGGAAGTAATTGAAATGCGCGTGATTCTTGTTTTGTAACAGTAAATTCAAGCCTTCTGTTGGAATAAATAAAATGAATTTGTAATGAACACAAAAGGGATAAAAGTTAGACGGGTTAATTAAAACTTTCCTAAGTAATGTTATTAATTTCTTGGATAGTATAAATTTAATATGAGACAGGGTAATATCAGTACTAAAAGGATAAAAGTAATGCTTTTTAAAATTTCAACATGTAAATAATAATACAAGTATTTAAATTTCAGATTCCAAATTCCAAAATCCAAAATTCTAAATTTCCAACTTTAGAAATTTTAAATTCCAAAATTCCGAATTCCCAAAATCTTAAATTCCAAAATCCAAACTACAAAATCTCAAAATTCCAACATTCCAACATCCAAAAACTTCAAATCTCAACATTCCAAAACTCCAAATTCCAAATTCTAATATTTCAAATGAATATCTCCCAAAAATTTCAAAATATCAATACTTCAGACGTTATTTCCTTAAAAGCGATCTAAAGACGCAAGAAACGATCGCTT